GCACAGAGGCACACACACGCACACAGACACACAGGCAGAGACAGGGACAGAGTAAGGCTGTGGGAAGCAGGCCCGGGATCTTGATCTCCTCCTCGTGCTCCCCAGCTTCCTCAAATTCCTGCTTCCCCCAGCGTGTCACACACAGGCACAGAGGCACACACCCACGAACATTAAGGCACACACAGATACACACAACATACATGTGTATGTGCACAGCATGCCCATACATGCAATCACACAACCACCACAAGGCTCCCATGCATGCAGAAAAGCAAGGCACACAGGCGCAGGGGCGTACAAGCTGAAGTGAATGAGCACCAGTGCTCACCTACACTAGATGCTGCCCACCCAAACGAGGTGACTTTTTAGTCGACTCAAAAGTGAATGAGCACCAGTGCTCACCTACACTAGATGCTGCCCACCCAAACGAGGTGACTTTTGAGTCGACTCAAAAGTGAATGAGCACCAGTGCTCACCTACACTAGATGCTGCCCACCCAAACCCATCCTCTTAGGATCGTAAACACCTTAGTCGGCAATAGTCTACTTGCTATTGCTTATCGTGTTCTCCACGATCTCACGAATCCAACGATATGCGCAGCTCTGCTTGAAGTTGTCAATACACACTTCAGCAATTTTCAGAATCACCAACTGATCAATGTTATATTTCCAGAATGAGTACAAGCAGTTTTATAGGCATGCAAGACACAAAATGCGATTCGTAACTTCACTTGTTTCCCAAGTAACCGCGTGCGCCTCGTTTCACCCCGAGTCGCACACGGAACCGAACCGAATTCGGTGAACAGTTGAAGGCTCTTCTCGAGGCCCTTGCGAGTGGCCGATTGGTGGCGAAACCGACGATCGGGCTCAGTGAAGCTCAGCGCTTCAATGGAAGCAACTACAACGTGTGGCGAAAGAAGTTCATTCGAAGGGCAGAGGAGGTGGACCTCTTGCCGTACTACCGTCCCGACGAGGAGACGATGGAGGGAGTTGCGCCTTCCACGACGGATACGAAGGAGAAAATAGCGGCGTTTAAAAAGCAAAGTAAGCAAGCTTTCTTTCAGCTTTGTCATTCAGTTGCCGATGGAATCGCGGTGGATTTGGACCAGTTTGCAGGGGAGCTGAACCCAGCACAGCAAGCGTGGGAGTACCTGGAGTCCACGTACATGGGCACCAACGATGTCAACAAGAAGACGATCAGGAAGCAGCTGCTGATGCTGAGCATGGAGAAAGGCGAGAAAATCATCACCTACATCAACAGGGCGAAAAATTACAACGACGACTTGCGGGTGATGGGAGCCGCGGAGACGGAGCACGAGATGATTGACTATATCATCCAAGGCCTTCCTAAGGAGTGGGAATCCGACATCGGTATGTTTACGTACCAACCGCCGGAGAGTTTGATGAAGCTGCAGGAAATTCTGCAGTCGCTTGAGACGGTGAAGGAGATGAGGAAGAAGAAAGCAGCAGCAGCAGTTACAGAATTCGACGAGGTTTGCTTTTAGGGCGCAGCAGGTTGATTGGTAAAAGTGTAAACCTCACTGAATCCGAGGCCAAGGAATAGAGGCTGTAAAAGTTTTGGGATGCGCACCCCGGTGGGGATGGACCATTGGGGGGGCTTGGGGACAATGTGGCAGCAAGAAACCTGTCGTATCTGTTGTCCTTATCCAAACCCTCTCTGTTCAGTTGCCGGACAATGCCCTCTGCTGGAATACTTGTCGCTGCATCGTTTGTAACTGTTTTTGTGTCGGCAGGTTTTTCATTGACGATCTTTGCAGGGTGGTCTTGGCAGTTTCCGCCTCTCCGTGTTCAACCGGTTGGACCAACCGGCATGTTGGTCCTGTGGACCGGTTGGACCAACCGGCCTGTTGGTCCTGTGGACCGGTTGGACCAACCGGCCAGTTGGTCCTGTGGACCGGTTGGACCAACCGGCCAGTTAGTCGTGTGGATCGGTTGGACCAACCGTCCTGTTGGTCCTGTGGACTGGTAGGACCAACCGGCTAGTTGGTCTTGTGGACCGGTTGGACCAACCGGCCTGTTGGTCCTGTGGACCGGTTGGACCAACCGGCCTGTTGGTCCTGTGGACCGGTTGGACCAACCGGCCAGGAGAGGCCGGGTATGGTGAATGCCACGAAGGCGTTTGGAGCATGCTACCAGTGTGGAAAGAGGGGGCATAAAGGGATAAACTGCTACGAAAATCCTCGAAGCAGAAACTACAAGGGCAAAGCTGTGGAGAATGATAAAGGAGAAAATGCAGGAGCGGAGTGGCAGCAGAAACGAGGTTTTGGCGGCAAGTGTGATTATTGTGGGCGCTACAGGCATCGTGCCGCAGAGTGCTACTCCAACCCGAATAGCATGAGCTACAAGGGTCCGTCGCAGCAGAGGAATGTGGAGACAAAGGCGAATGTAGTGGAAGCGGAAAAGGAGGATGTGATTTTGGGAGGAGCGCATCTCGCGAACGTGGTGCGTTTACCGAAGGAGGCTCAGACAGATGGACGTGAGAAGAGGGCGTGGTTCATGGACAGCGGATGCACGCGTCACATGACATTCAGGTCAGATTGGATGGAGAATGTGAGGGAGTCGAGTGAGGATTATATACTACAAGGTAACAGTGGGAAGTTACCAGTGACATGAGAGGGTGACGTGGTGCTGCAGAGACCGTATGGAGAGATGAGACTGGAGAATGTGCTGCTGGTTGAGGATTTAAAGGTGAACTTGGTCAGTCAGTCACAGCTTGATGACTTGGGGTGCAAGATATTTTATGACAGAGGCGAGGTTACAGTGTTTGGTCCTGAGTGGGAGAAGTATGCGGATGGTTGTTTCAGTGACGGTTTCTATGAGATGAACTTGGTCGCGATGAACGATAAGGATGAGATCTATGAGGATCCTGAGTCTACTGAGGATGATGAGAGTGAGGACTCGGATGATATGGCTGCGAGTGTGGAGGCAGCAGTGAAGCAGGAAGAGGAGATAGTGATCATGGAGGCAGCAGCAGTAAACGGTGGAGATGGAGACGATGTCAACACTTTTGCAGCAGCGATCGTGGTTGAAGATGAAGCAGTAAATGCGAAGCGTGTGGGAGTTGAAGCTGTGAAAGGGGACATCATGGTGAAAGGATCAAAGGCGAATGCAACTGCAAAGGGGCAAGTGCTTAAGGAGGATGAACGCGTTGAAGGGTACGAGACCCGAGAGGTGTTGGGTGTAAAGATGCCGAGGAGAAGTGAGAGGCTTAAGAAAATCTCTTAAGGTTTGGATGTCAAGGCGCTCAACTTCAAGACACGTAAGCAGAGGTTCAAGGTGCAGGAGCTGCAGGGGAGTGTGAAGCCGACCTAGACCCTGTGAAGGCTACAAGGAGCAGGGGAGGAGTGCGAGTGGAGTTCGTGGTTGACGAACCACAGGGGAGATTGTTAGGGTTGGTTCGCCCAACCACGGAACCTATGGCGAAAGTCTCTACGACGGCGGAATGACGGCGAAATGGAAGCGCGTGGATGATTCTAGGTGAAACGGTGGAAATCAGCCTACGGCGTGAGAAGCGGGAGAGAAATCGAGAAGGAACCAAAGAAATGGAGGAAGAGAGAAGGAGAAGCATCGAGGATGAGATCGACGGGGGAAATTGTGGTCTGAGACCAAGGCGCGTTCGAGAAGGTTCCCGATTCGGTCTTGAGGAGTGTTCACCGAATTCGGTTCGGTTCCGTGTGCGACTCGGGGTGAAACGAGGCGCACGCGGTTACTTGGGAAACAAGTGAAGTTACGAATCGCATTTTGTGTCTTGCATGCCTATAAAACTGCTTGTACTCATTCTGGAAATATAACATTGATCAGTTGGTGATTCTGAAAATTGCTGAAGTGTGTATTGACAACTTCAAGCAGAGCTGCGCATATCGTTGGATTCGTGAGATCGTGGAGAACACGATAAGCAATAGCAAGTAGACTATTGCCGACTAAGGTGTTTACGATCCTAAGAACGCTTCCTTCATTTCTCCAGTTTCTCAGTATACTCATCAAATTCACCTTCAAATCCGTCTAGGGTTCGTAGTGAATGAGCACTAGTGCTCACCTACACTAGATGCTGCCCACCCAAACCCATCCCGGGGTTCAAATTCACCTTCAAATCCCAAGACCGTGGTCGCCGTAGCTTCTATTCTCCACCGCCGTAACTTCCTTTCCCGTAGTTCCATTTCTCTCACCTCTTCCTCGCATTGTGGGCAGTCTCCTTAACAGCCGCCGCCATGGGTCGTATGCACAGTCACGGAAAGGGTATTTCGCGCTCCGCCCTGCCCTACAAGCGCACTCCTCCGAGCTGGTTGAAGATCTCAGCCCCCGAGATCGACGAGCCCGTTCGCCAAGCTCTGATACCAGTTCTTAGGATCGTAAACACCTTAGTCGGCAATAGTCTACTTGCTATTGCTTATCGTGTTCTCCACGATCTCCCAAATCCAACGATATGCGCAGCTCTGCTTGAAGTTGTCAATACACACTTCAGCAATTTCAGAATCTCAATGTTGTCCAATGTTGTGATTTCCAGAATGAGTACAAGCAGTTTTATGGTCAGGCAAGACACACAATGCGATTCGTAACTTCACTTGTTTCCCAAGTAACCGCGTGTGCCTCGTTTCACCCCGAGTCGCACACGGAACCGAACCGAATGCACCGAACATTTCTTGAGTCCGAATCTCGAACCTTCTCGAACGCGCCTCAAGCTTGAACCACAATTTCCCCCGTCGATCTCATTCTTGATGCTTCTCCTTCTCTATTCCTCCTTCCTGCACATTCCTTCTCGATTTCCTTCCCGCTTCTCACGCCGTAGCTTCTATTCTCCACCGTAGGTCGATTTCCACCGTCTTAGATCTAAAATCTCCCACGCACTCCATTCCGCCGTCATTCCGCATCTCGCCGTAGGTTTCGTGGTTCATCGAACCAACCCTAACAATCTCCCCTGTGGTTCGTCAACCACGAACTCCACTCGCACTCCTCCCCTGCTTCTTGTAGCCTTCACAGGGTCTAAGTCGGCTTCACGCTCCCCTGCAGCTCCTCCACCTTGAACCTCTCCTTACGTGTCTTGAATTTGAGCGCCTTGACGTCCAAACCTTGAGACATTTTCTTAAGCCTCTCACTTCTCCTCGGCATCTTAACACCCAACACCTCTCGGGTCTCGTACCCCTCAACGTGTTCCTCCTTCGTAAGCACTCGCCCCTTTGCAGTTGCTTTCTCCTTTGATCCTTTCACCAGGATGTCCCCTTTCACAGCTTCAACTCCCATATACTTCTCATTTACTGCTTCATCTTCAACCACGATCGCTGCTGCAAAAGTGTTGACACCAACTCCATCTCCACCATTCACTGCTGCTGCCTCCATGGCGACTATCTCCTCTTTCTGCTTCACTGCTGCCTCCACACTCGCTGCCGTATCATCCGTGTCCTCACTCTCATCAACCTTAGTCGATAACTTCTCCAATTCTCCCATTTCACCATACTCAGGATCCTCATAGATCTCATCCATATCATTCGTCGCTATCACGTTCATCTCATAAAATCCGTCACTGAAGTAACCCTCTGCGTACTTCTCCCACTCTGGGCCAAACATTATAACCTTTCCACTGTCATAAAATATCTTGCACCCCAAGTCATCAAGCTGTGACTGACTGACCAAATTCACTTTTAAATCCTCAACCAGCAGCACACTGTCCAGTTTCACCTCTCCATACGGACTCTGCAGCACCACGTCACCCTCTCCTGTCACTGGCAACTTCCCGCTGTTACCTTGCAGTATATAATCCTCACTCGAGTCCCTCACATTCTCCATCCAATCTGACCTGAATGTCATGTGACGCGTGCATCCGCTGTCCATGAACCATGCCGTCTTCTCACGATCGTCCGTCTGCCGAACCTCCTTTGGTAAACGCACCACGTTCGCAAGATGCGCTCCTCCAAAAATCACATCCTTCTTTTCCGCTTCTGCTACATTCGCCTTTGCCGCCACATTTCTCTGCTGCGACGGACCCTTGTAGCTCCTGCTATTCGGGTTGGAGTAGCACTCTGCGGCACGATATCCATAGCGCCCACAATAGTCGCACTTGCCGCCAAAACCCCGTTTCTGCTGCCACTCCGCTCCCCCATTTTCTCCTTTATCGTTCTCCAACGCTTTGCCTTTGTAGTTCCTGCTTCGCGGATTTTCGTAGCAGTTTATCGCCTTATGCCCCCTCTTTCCACACTGGTAGCACGCTCAAAACGCCTTTGTCGCATTCACCATTGCCGACCTCTCCTCGTCTAATTCCGCTGCTGCTGCCGCTTTCTTTTTCCTCATCTCCTTCACCGTCTCAAGCGATTGCAGAATCTCCTGCAGCTTCGTCAAACTCTCCGGCGGTTGGTACGTAAACATACCGATGTCGGATTCCCACTCCTTAGGAAGGCCTTGGATGATATAGTCAATCATCTCGTGCTCCGTCTCCGCGGCTCCCATCACCCGCAAGTCGTCGTTGTAATTTTTCGCCCTGTTGATGTAGGTGATGATTTTCTCGCCTTTCTCCATGCTCAGCATCAGCAGCTGCTTCCTGATCGTCTTCTTGTTGACATCGTTGGTGCCCATGTACGTGGACTCCAGGTACTCCCACGCTTGCTGTGCTGGGTTCAGCTCCCCTGCAAACTGGTCCAAATCCACCACGATTCCATCGGCAACTGAATGACAAAGCTGAAAGAAAGCTTGCTTACTTTGCTTTTTAAACGCCGCTATTTTCTCCTTCGTATCCGTCGTGGAAGGCGCAACTCCCTCCATCGTCTCCTCGTCGGGACGGTAGTACGGCAAGAGGTCCACCTCCTCTGCCCTTCGAATGAACTTCTTTCGCCACACGTTGTAGTTGCTTCCATTGAAGCGCTGAGCTTCACTGAGCCCGATCGTCGGTTTCGCCACCAATCGGCCACTCGCAAGGGCCTCGAGAAGAGCCTTCAACTGCGGGTCTCCAAGACTCACACTGGAACCCGAACTCGCCTCGTCTCCCATGGCGTAGGCGTGAACGACTCCTCTTCTCCACTAATTTCACTTAGCGCACCAAGTGAATTCACCGCGATCGACGAGCCCGTTCGCCAAGCTCTGATACCAGTTCTTAGGATCGTAAACACCTTAGTCGGCAATAGTCTACTTGCTATTGCTTATCGTGTTCTCCACGATCTCCCAAATCCAACGATATGCGCAGCTCTGCTTGAAGTTGTCAATACACACTTCAGCAATTTCAGAATCTCAATGTTGTCCAATGTTGTGATTTCCAGAATGAGTACAAGCAGTTTTATGGTCAGGCAAGACACAAAATGCGATTCGTAACTTCACTTGTTTCCCAAGTAACCGCGTGTGCCTCGTTTCACCCCGAGTCGCACACGGAACCGAACCGAATGCACCGAACATTTCTTGGGTCCGAATCTCGAACCTTCTCGAACGCGCCTCAAGCTTGAACCACAATTTCTCCTTGTCAACTCCAATCTCGATACTTCTTCACTCTTCTTCCTCCATTTCTCTAGTTTCTTCCCAATTTCTCTCTTGCTTCTCACGCCGTAGCTTCCATTCTCCACCGTAGGCCGATTTCCACCGTTTCACCTAGAATCATCCACGTGCTTCCATTTCCCCGTCATTCCGCCGTCGTAGAAGCTTTCGCCGTAGGTTCCGTGGTTGGGCGAACCAACCCTAACAATCTCCCCTGTGGTTCGTCAACCACGAACACCACTCGCACTGCTTTCCTGCTCCTTGTAGCATTCACAGGGTCTAAGTCGGCTTCACGCTCCCCTGCAGCTCCTGCACCTTGAACCTCTGCTTACGTGTCTTGAAGTTGAGCGCCTTGATATCCAAACCATGAGGCATCTTCTTAAGCCTCTCGCTTCTCCTCGGAATCTTAGCACCCAACCCCTCTCGGGTCTTGTACCCCTCAACGTGTTCCTCTTTCATAAGCACTCGCCCCTTTGCAGTTGCACTCGCCTCTTTGCAGTTGCATTCGCCGTTGATCCCTTCACCATGATGCCCCCTTTCACAGCTTCAACTCCCACACACTTCGCATTTACTGCTTCATCTTTAACCACGACCGCTGCTGCAAAAGTGTTGACACCATCTCCATCTCCATCATTCACCGCTGCTGCCTCCATGGTGACTATCTCTTCTTCCTGCTTCACTGCTGCCTCCACACTCGCTCCCGTATCATCCGTGTCCTCGCTCTCATCAACCTCAGTAGACTCAGGATCCTCATAGATCTCATCTTTGTCGTTCATCGCTATCAAGTTCATCTCATAGAACCCGTCACTGAAGTATCCATCGGCATACTTCTCCCACTCAGGACCAAACACTGTAACCTCGCCTTTGTCATAAAATATCTTGCACCCCAAGTCATCAAGCTGTGACTGACTCATCAAATTCACCTTCAAATCCTCAACCAAGAGCACATTCTCCAGTTTCACCTCTCCATACGGACTTTGCAGCACCACGTCACCCTCTCCTGTCACTGGTAACTTCCCACTGTTACCTTGCAGTATATAACGCTCACTCGACTCCCTCACGTTCTCCATCCAATCTGACCTGAATGTCATGTGACGCGTGCATCCGCTGTCCATGAACCATGCCGTCTTCTCACGTCCGTCCGTCTGACGAACATTCTTCGGTAAACGCACCACGTTCGCACGATGCGCTCCTCCCAAAATCACATCCTCCTTTTCGGCTTCCGCTACATTCACCTTACCCGCCACAATCCTCTGCTGCGACGGACCCTTGTAGCTCCTGCTGTTCGGATTGGAGTAGCACTCTGCGGCACGATGCCCATAGCGCCCACAATAATCGCACTTGCCGCCAAAACCTCGTTTCTGTTGCCACTCTGCTCCCCCATTTTCTCCTTTCTCGTTCTCCACCGCTTTGCCCTTGTAGTTTCTGCTTCGCGGATTTTCGTAGCAGTTTATCGCCTTATGCCCCCTCTTTCCACACTGGTAGCACGCTCTAAACGCCTTCGTTGCATTCACCAAAGCCGGCCTCTCCTCGTCGAAATCCGTAGCTGCTGCTGCCGCTTTCTTTTTCCTCATCTCCTTCACCGTCTCAAGCGATTGCAGAATCTCCTGCAGCTTCGTCAAACTCTCCGGCGGTTGGTACGTAAACATACCGATGTCGGATTCCCACTCCTTAGGAAGGCCTTGGATGATATAGTCAATCATCTCGTGCTCCGTCTCCGCGGCTCCCATCACCCGCAAGTCGTCGTTGTAGTTTTTCGCCCTGTTGATGTAGGTGATGATTTTCTCGCCTTTCTCCATGCTCAGCATCAGCAGTTGCTTCCTAATCGCCTTCTTGTTGACATCGTTCGTGCCCATGTACGTGGACTCCAGGTACTCCTACGCTTTCTGTGCAGAGTTCAGCTCCCCTGCAAACTGGTCCAAATCCACCGCGATTCCATCGGCAACTGAGTGACAAAGCTGAAAGAACGCTTGCTTACTTTGTTTTTTGAACGCCGCTATTTTCTCCTTCGTATCCGTCGGGGATGGCGCAACTCCCTCCATCGTCTCCTCGTCGGGACGGTAGTACGGCAAGAGGTCCACCTCCTCTGCCCTTCGAATGAACTTCTTCCGCCACACGTTGTAGTTGCTTCCGTTGAAGCGCTGGGCTTCACTGAGCCCGATCGTCGGTTTCGCCACCAATCGGCCACTCGCAAGGGCCTCGAGAAGAGCCTTCAACTGCGGGTCTCCAAGACTCACACTGGAACCCGAACTCGCCTCGTCTCCCATGGCGTAGGCGTGAACGACTCCTCTTCTCCACTAATTTCACTTAGCGCACCAAGTGAATTCACCGCGATCGACGCGCCCGTTCGCCAAGCTCTGATACCAGTTCTTAGGATCGTAAACACCTTAGTCGGCAATAGTCTACTTGCTATTGCTTATCGTGTTCTCCACGATCTCCCAAATCCAACGATATGCGCAGCTCTGCTTGAAGTTGTCAATACACACTTCAGCAATTTCCAGAACCACGGCCCGGCGACCACGGTTCGTAGTGAATGAGCACCAGTGCTCACCTACACTAGATGCTGCCCACCCAAACCCATCCCTCAATATTGTGACAAACCACCAAGTATCGCGTTCCACCCCCTCACACACCTCGTGATTCCCTCGGCCCCCCACAGACAGATTCCTTTACAACCCCCCTTTCCCCTTTTCGACACACCTGGACTTGTAAAACCCACCCTCCCACACACAAATCATCACTTCCCATCCACCCCCCCTTCTCTCCCCAAACACAGACTTCACTTCCCTGTCCCCACCCCACCCCCTTCCACCACCCCCAACCACCACACACCGCTTAATTTGCACAATAGCCATTGTCATCGCCTGGCCAATCAGGCCACAGCTGAACCCCACCCATTCCCCCTCCCTCTTAAATTTCCCATCTCCCTTGTCCCCCCCTTTCCAGCCCCCTTCCCCACCAACCGCCACGCACCTCTTGATTTGCACAATAGCCATTGTCAACGCCTGGCCAATCAAACCGCAGCTGAATCCCACCCATTCTCCCTCCCCTTGACTTTCCCATCTCCTTTCCCCCCTCCCCCCCCCCTTCCACCCCCCTTTCCCCCACAACCACCACGCACCTCTTGATTTGCACAATAGCCATTGTCATTGCCTGGCCAATCTTTGAGCTGTCTCAAAAGCCATGCTTGAGGCTCCTCAACACCCCACCCCTCCCCCCCTTACCCAACCGCCACGCACCTCTTGATTTGCACAATGGCCATTGTCATCGCCTGGCCAATCAACCCACAGCTGAACCCCACCACTGCATACTGCCCGCCCTTCACCAACCACGTCGCACCCCTCTGCACCGCACTGTATCTCCTCCCCGGCAGCGCCGCCTCAAACATGCTGCTGGGAAGCGCCTCCAGAGCTGCAGCCAGGCCCGGCGGCACCAAGCCTCGCCTGCCTCGGGCTGCCGAGGCTGCGGCGCTGCTGCCGAACCTAGCCATGGGCGCGAGCATGCTGACGAGAGCAGCGTCTACTGCGAATCCCACGAGGATATCTGACATATAGAGATCAAACTCCTTCCAAAAGTCGTCTCCTCGTTTCCGCACTTCAGCAAATGTGGCACAGCCCGAGTCGATTACAATCTGTGGGGTGGAGAGGGGAGATCGGAGGGTAGAGCGGGGAGAGGGAAGGGTGGAGCGGAGAGAGGGGAGGGTGGAGCAGGGAGAGGAGGGGGGGAGGATAGGCGATTTTAAGCGAAAGTGGCACAGCAAGAGTCTATTACGATCTGGTGGTGAGGGTGGAGCGGTGAGGGAGAAAATTGGGGGTGGGAGAGGGGAGGTAGAATGTATGGGGACATAGACCGTGAGCCGACCAGGGTTCGGGGTTGAAGGCTTATGCCAGGGTAGAGGGGTTTAGCTTGGATTGTTCATTTCATTGAGAAACTTGCATACGCAGCAAAGCGCTCGACAGTGGAGCATTTATTCGGTTTGATGCAATCCTCGTTACAAGCATGAAACAATGTGAACACTGACCAGGTTTGACGGATCCGCACAGTGAAGCGTTCTCAATAGTGGAACATCTGGATAGTGTAACTACCATTTTATAAGCACATGCACATACGCGCACCTCTGTGAGCACTCTGAAGAGGAAGGCGGGATTCGCCAGCAGCCTGTACTCGATATTGGAACGACTCGTTAGCCTAACTAAAACAATACAAGCGCATGCATGTACACGCACCTCTGTGAACACTTTGAAGAGGAAGGCGGGATCCGCCAGCAGCCTGTTGCGCAACCCGGCGAATGCGCGGGTAGCGGCGGCGAGAATGCCTCCGCCCACCTGACGGAGAGAGAAGGGGGAAGAACAAGGGAGAAGGGGGGGGGGGACGGGGAAGAAAGAGCGGGAACGGGGGATGAAGGGCGAGACGGGGGAGGAGAGAGAGGCCCATGTTTGCAATGAAAGGCCGTTGGAGCCATGAAACATGTGAAGGGGCGGGGGCGGGGTTTCGGGGACGGGTAGATTAATGCAACATGTGAATGCAACATGTTATTAAAACCATGTTCCCGTACAGTAAAAGTAAGAAATTTTCGATGTAGTCACAGACCTGCAGGTCGATGTATCGCTGCAGCAGCAGCTGCGCAATGCCGTGCTCCTTCACATGCGCTAGCATGTCCTCCGGTAGAGTCACACCCGCCTTAGATAAAGCCTCCTCCGCTTGCGCGTAACCCAGAATCGGCCCATAGTCGCTCTCCGCGTCCCCCGCATTCCCCTCTCCGCCTACCCCATCCCCTCCCCCTCCCCCTCCGCTTCCGCCTCCGCCGGAGCTTCCCCCTGCGCCGTCACCTCCCCCGCCGCCAAGCTGCGTCACGTAACCGGCAGATGAAGCGGCCGCGCTGGTGACGACCGACGGCCTTGACGGTTTGCCGTCGGAAGACCTGGATCTGCCGTCCAAACCGGACAATGTAGCAATGTTCGGGTTCAGAGCGGTGCAGATCGGTAGATCGTTAGACGGATCTGCGCTTGCGACGACGATGACTGCGCGGTGGCTCTTCGAAGGGGCATTGCTGGTGGCGCGGAATGCGGCGGCGGGAACGGTAATGGAATGCGAAAGTCGCACAGTGAAAACTGGCTCGTGTGATCGCCAGCCGTTGGATGGGGATCCGACGGTCGTCGTGAAGGTTTGAGCAACCGCAGCGGGGTTTGCTAAATGCAAGGCCATGGCCAGACGATCTGACGCGATTTGCGCTAAGAGAGCTTGGCGCTTAAACGAAACGAGTGCACGGTTTTCGTAGTCTCCTAGCTTTGATACGCCTGCGATGCGGCGGGAGCCTATCTAGACCTAGTTTGCCAAGCCTGGAGCTTCAATACAACCAGGGATCAACACAACAGATCAGGCCGAACTTCGAGATTTTTGAAATTTCAAAACGCCCAGAACTGTACGCGATATAAGCGTAATTGTAATGGAGCTGCTCCGCTCCGCTCTGCCATGCTCCTGCCAATCTGCAGGTTGGGCACGCAGCCGCAGCATTATTCTGTCCACGTGGAGCGCACCCAATGGCTCGCTAGTTGCCTCCCACCAATCAGAAATACCATACAAGTGTAAACCAGCCAGTCACATTCACCCGCGAAAACTCCACTCAAGATCAAGTACAGTACTATGTACTCGAATTTTCATGTATACTGCAACAGCTACAGCAACTGACCACCTCAGTATTATAATTGTGGGATACTCCGTAATGCTCTTTGCAACTCGGAAGGCTTTAGAGGCTTGGTGATAAAGCTATCCATGCCCACCTCCATGCACCTTTCCCTATCTGATGCCAGAGCGCTGGCGGTTAGAGCTATGATGCGCGGCCGGCGTATACGCTGGTCCCGACGGTATTTACAATTTTGGGCTTCACTGCCCCGGTCAGCCTTGACATCCATCTCTGTTAGTTCGTCTTGCGAAGCTGCTGCAGCTGCCGTAGCAGGGGCGGCTACAGTAAAGTCGAGGCCTCTGCTGCTGCCGTTACTATTGAAGTATGGAACCTTATAATGATCAGTATAATGCTGCCGAATGAGGCGAGTTGCCTCAAATCCATCCATCTCAGGCATATGGCAGTCCTGTGGTCAAGCGCACGAGGGCAAGTCCAGAGAAGGATGCAGGACGACAAGGGAAAACCATGAGAACAAGATACTGTGCAGCAGACGAGTCACCACCAGCTGGTTCACCCCACACACTCACAATAAGATGCCTTGAACGTCTCACTATAAGACAACTCACTATAAGACGACTCACCATAAGCACGAGGTCGTAGTCTCTCTGAGCACACTTATCAACGGCCTCCCGGCCATTGACGGCCACATCACACGCCACGCCCAGGCTGTGCAGCATGCGCGTCACCACCAGCTGGTTCACCCCACACTCACAGAGAGATGGTTTGAACGACTCACTATAAGATGACTCACCATGAGCACCAGGTCGTAGTCCTTCTGAGCACACTTAGCGACAGCCTCCCGGCTATTGACTGCCACGTCACACGCCACGCCCAGGCTGTGCGGCATGCGCGTCACCACAAGCTGGTTCACCCCACAGACAGACCCGTGACACACCTTTTTGTACTCACTACAAGGCGACTCACCATGAGCACGAGGTCATAGTCCCTCTGTGCGCACTTATCAACGGCCTCCCGGCCATTGACAGCCACGTCACACGCCACGCCCAGGCTGTGCAGCATGCGCGTCACCACCAGCTGGTTCACCCGGTTGTCCTCTGCTACCAGACACCTCATCCCCTCAAACGGCGACTTCTTCACTTCTCCCTCCTTGTCTGTGCCATGCCCCTGGCCTTGCTTTGCTCCCTGTTGTTCCTGCCCTTCATTTTGTGACCTGCCTGCATCTGCGAATCGCGTCACCACCAGCTGGTTCACTCTGCTGTCCTCCGCTACCAGACACCTCATCCCCTCAAACGGCGACTTCTTCCCTTCTCCCTCCTTGTCTGTGCCGTGCTGCTTGCTCTGCTTCGCTCCCTGTTGTTCCGGTGCTTCACAGTGTGACCTGCCTGCATCTGCAGGCCGAGTCACCACCAGCTGGTTCACTCTGTTGTCCTCCGCCACCAGACACCTCATTCCTTCAAACGGTGATCTCGTCTCGTCTGCTTCACCATCTGTACCATGCCCCTTGACCTGCTGCTCTGTCCGCCCTTCCTGCCCTCCCTGCTCTCCCTGCTCCTGTGCTTCTTCATCCAGTGATCGTTCTTCAGTTGGACATCGCCCATTGCCCTGCTTACCCCTCTGCCGCCTGACACAGACTCTCTTCCCCACCCGGGCCCCTTCATCTGTCTCCCCTCCTCTCCTGTTCACACCCACGTGCGCACCCACATCCTCCTCCGCTGCTTCAAGTCCTGCCGTGCCACAGATGTCACTGCTGCCGCTGCTGCCCCTGCTGCCACTGCTGCCGCTGCTGCCACCCCTGCTGCCACTGCTGTCGCTGCCATTGCTGATGCTGCCGCTGATGCTGATGCTGATGCGGTTACACACGCGCTCAAGGGCTTCGTTTAAATGAGCACTGTTAGTTGCCTGGTCAGTTGCTTGGTTAGTTGCACTTATATGCTTAGCCAGATCAGAGCGCAAAGGGCTGCTCTGAATCGCCTTCAAACGAGGTCTACAAGGGGGGTTGGTGCTGGGAGCAGCTTCAGAACAGGGAGGCAGTGACGCAGGGAGTGAAGGTGCGAGGGAGGGAGAGAGTAACGGTGAGACGGAGGCCATATCAGGAGCAGAGGACAAGGAAGGAAAGGCAGAAGGAGGCGTAGGGACAGCGGGCGATGCAGCGAGAGCGGGAGGCGTAGTGGCAACGGGAGATGCGGGTAGAACTGTGGGTGCAGGGATGGTGGGAGGTGCTGCAGTGTAAGTGGGGGGTGCAGGAAGGGCAGGAGATGACTGGTATGAGGGAAGAGGGTGGGGTTCAGGCTGATGAGAGTCCAGAGGAGTGGGTGTAGGCTCAACTGAGGCGCGGGCAGGTAGGACTGGGGGAGGGCGTACTGACACAGCCTGCATGGGGAATGATGCATTGGTATCTGCATCTGGGGAAGGTGGTGCTTCTGACTCAGGTGCTTCTGAGTCAGGTGCTTTAGGGGCGGGTGGTGCTGGGGCAGGTGGTTCTGAAGCGGGTGGTTCAGGGGCAGGTAGAGCTGGGGCAGGTAATGATGTGGCAGGTAATGATGTGGCAGGTAATGATGTGGCAGGTAATGATGTGGCAGGTAATGATGTGGCAGGTAATGATGTGGCAGGTAATGATGTGGCAGGTAATGATGTGGCAAGTAATGCTGTGGCAAGTAATGCTGTGGCAGATGGTTCTGGTTCAGGTAATTTTAGAGCGGGTGGCTCTGGGGCCGTCTGAGGTGCAGCAGCACATGGGGAGGAGGGCACAGGGAAAGTGGGAGGTGAGGAATTGGGAAGGGGACACGGAGCAAGGGAGGTAGCAGCAGGGAAGGTGGTTTGAGGTTCTTGGATGGCCCCCCGTGTAGGTGCATTTTGGGAAGGCTTATCCATCCCACCCACCACCGTCTCATCCATTCGAGCTTTGCCAAAGGGGATGCAGACGGTGAACGCCGACCCAATCCCAGGCTGGCTGTCCACAGAGATCTCCCCACCCATGAGGCCAATGAGCGAGTGACAGATGGCAAGACCCAGCCCCGTGCCTCCGAAGCGGCGGGAGGCGGAGGAGTCGGCCTGAGTGAAGGGGTGGAAGATGTGTGGCATGATATGTGGCGCCATGCCTATGCCCGTGTCCTGCACCCTCACCTGCACCCACACCACTGACTGATCCTTCTCCTTCCCCTGCTGCTCCCTTTGCTGCCCCTCCTGCTGCCCCTGCTGCCCCTGCTGCCCCTGCTGCCCCTGCTGCCCCTGCTGCCCCTGCTGCCCCTGCTGTCCCTGCTGCCCCTGCTGCACCTCCCGCTGCACCTCCTGCTGCCCCTGCTGCTGCCCCTGCCGTTTCCCCTGCTCCTCCTCCTCCTGTTGCCTCTCCGGCCCCTCCTGCTGCCCCTGCTGCCCCTCCTGACTCAACTCCACGTGTGTCAAGTCTTCCTGCCATCCACTCGTCGCCACCCTCATCCCTCCGTCCAATAGTCCCCCTTCCCTTTCAGTCCTCTCCAACCACCTTTTCTCCACCCCGCCACCTCTCTCCACCTCTGCTCTTGCCATATGGGCCACATCACACTGCCCTTTCTTCAACACCCCTCCATTGCAATCCGGCTCCTCACCTCGCCCCTCTTCCTCTCTCTGCCTTTTCCTTCCCTGAGACCTTTCAGGCCCACCACCATTGCTTCCTCCTCCTGCTGCTGCTGCTCCCACTTCTCTTTCTCCTCCTGCTCCCCTACCCTGCCTAGTCTCCTCCCCTCTACTCTCCCCTCTCGTGCCTTGAACAGCCCTGCAATCACAGCCCTTACGATCACGGTCGGATTCCCAAGGTTGCCCATCCCAGACCCGACTCGTGGTCCCACCAGCCTCCCCGTTGACACGTGAAGTGGGTGCTTTCTGTAGCCTGGTCACATGCACTGCCACAGAGCCCCTGCCATATGGGAGGAGGAGGAGGGGAGGGGAGGGGGGGGGAAAGGAATGCACAGAGGAAGAGGGGCGGGAAGGGGATAAGGAAGGTTCGCGCAGCCTGGTCACATGCACTGCCACGGAACATCTGTCGTCATGGGGGGGCACGCACAGAGGAGAAAGAGCGCACGAGAGAAGGGAAGGGCAGTGAGTGAGCAATCGCGGAAGAGAGTGGGGAGGGGCGAGGCGACGGGGTGAAGCCGCTTTTTGGAACGATGTGCCTCTCTTCTAGTGTTCAAGACAGTATATTACCATTATATTAGTAATAACAATAGTGCTGAATATATCATAAGGCACATCCACGTGACGCACCTATCAGTGAACTTTATGGCATTAGAGAGCAGGTTGAGCAGCACCTGACGGAACCGCATTGCATCGCCCACCACCTCCAGAGGCGTGGATGGATCGACGCTCACAGACAGCTGGGATGATCCCGAGGAGGAGAGAAAGGGAGGAATGGGGATGGAGGGAGAGATGAGGCGGGGGGAAGGGGGATGGGAGCGTGAGTGAGAGCGAGTGTGCTGGCAGTGGCAGTGTGGAGACAGAAGGGGCGGAGGGAGTGGGAGTGGGACTGAGGGAGCGAAACTGAGGGAGCGAAACTGAGGGAGCGGGACTGAAGCCACTTGCAACGCTTTCTTACCTGCAGCCCTTTCTTGACGGCAACAACTCTCATGAGCGCAAGGGTGCTCTCAATGGCCGAGAGGAGGCCGAATAACGCGGGGGAGAGGGCGAGGGAGTGGGACTCGATGCGCGTGATATCGAGAAGGTCTGAGAGGATTCGCACGAGGCTCTCCCCTGACGCCCGCACGACCTGCAGCAGCGCCCTCTGCTCGCTGCTCACACCTGAGCTTAGTAATAGCTCCACCACCCCCAACACGCCTGGCGATGCAGCAGGGAAGCAGCAGGGAAGCAGCAGGGAAGGAGGGAGGAGAGGGGCGAACGTGTGAGTCTGCTTTCTAGGCACCGCACGAGGCTCTCCCCTGATGCCCGCACGACCTGCAGCAGCGCCCTCTGCTCGCCAGTCAAGGATGAGCTTAACAACAGCTCCACCACCCCCAACACGCCTGGGGGAAGGAAGGAGGGTGGAAGGGGCGAAGGTGTGTGTTGAGTGTGTTTTCTAAGCTGCCGCACGAGGCTCTCCCCTGACGCCCGCACGACCTGCAGCAACGCCCTCTGCTCGCTGCTCACTCCCGATGCTAGTAGTAGCTCCACCACCCCCAATACGCCTGGTGATGAAATACGGAAGGAGGAGGGGAGGAGTGAGCGAGGGAGGAGGGGAGGGAGGAGGGGGGAAGGAGGGAGGGGGGGAAGGGCTCGGCTGGCTACACTGAGACATTTGATGACTATTGGTCGACTTACTGCCAATCACCCACTGCCAGTCATGACTCACCATTCATGGGGGTGCGCAGCTCGTGGCTCGTGTTCGCCTCGCCAGGAACTGTGACTTGGCACGGCTTGCCGCAATCACCCAGCACCACTCACAGCTAGGTCATACCCATCACCCACTACAGACCATCCCCAGCACCATCCACCCGTCACCATTCATGGGAGTGCGCAGCTCGTGGCTCATGTTCGCCTCGCCAGGAACTGTGACTTGGCGCGGCTGGCCGCCTCTGAGACATCTGATCTGATCGAACTCCGTTTATTGCCAAACAACCACTCACAACCCATCACCCACCATTCATGGGAGTGCGCAGCTCGTGGCTCATGTTCGCCAGGAACTGTGTCTTGGCGCGGCTGGACCCCTCAAACCGGTGAAGGGTTATATCCAATCACTCACTGCCAATCTCCCCTTACCATTCATGGGAGTGCGCAGCTCGTGGCTCATGTTCGCCTCGCCAGGAACTGTGTCTTGGCGCGGCTGGCCGCCTCTGAGACATCTGACTACTATCGACTTACTGCCAATCTCCCACGACCACCATCCCCTCATTACCATTCATGGGAGTGCGCAGCTCGTGGCTCATGTTCGCCAAGAACTGTGTCTTGGCGCGGCTGGCCGCCTCTGCTGCTTCTTTAGCCTGCCTCAGCTCCTCCTCCCTCTGCTTCGCCTCCCTCATGTCGTGCCACACCACGATCACACAGTCCCTCCCCGCTGCCACTATGTGCTGAGACGGGAGGGGGAAGGAGAAACACAGCCAATGGGAGGAAAATGCTTCTCAGGTTCCCCCTACCTCTCCCTCCTCTTTGCTTCCCGCATGTCATGCCACACCACGATCACACAGTCCCTCCCCGCTGCCACTATGTGCTGTGGAAGGGGAGGGAGGGAAACGCAGTGAAGTCAGCAACACACAGCAGGCGGATAGAGGGGGGCTTGTGAGGATATCCCCATCTCTCCCTCCGCTTCGCCTCCCTCATGTCGTGCCACACCACGATCACACAGTCCCTCCCTCTGCTGCCACTATGTGCTGGGGGAAAAGGGGAAGGGGAGGGAAAAACACAACCCAAGGGAGGGAAGCATACACGGGTAAGGAGAGAGAGGAAGGCTTGTCAGCATGCCCCCACCTCTCCCTGCACTTCGCCTCCCTCATATCGTGCCACACCACGATCACACAGTCCCTCCCCGCTGCCACTATATGCTGGGTGGAGATGGAAACGCGAAAACCCAGTCCCTACCCTTACCTTCACGCGGACAAGCACAGGGAGCGGCGTCCCGTCCAGGGCACGGTGCATCCACTCGAAGCTGATGGCCTCTCCGCTCTGCACCCTCGCCATCACCTCGCCATCCATCCCTCTGGCCCTGCCCCTCCCCTCACCCTCGCACCAGCCACAAACAACATCTCTCACCTTGACTCGAACAAGCACAGGCAGGGGTGACCCATCCAGGGCACGGTGCATCCACTCGAAGCTGATCGCCTCTCCACTCTGCACCCTCGCCATCACCTCCCCGGCCGCCTCAACCGTCGGGCGGCCGTCCGGCTGCACGGGCGGCGAGAAGCTGACGTGGAACGGGCGGCACATGACGTCTGCTTTGGAGGCGCAGCGCAGTATGGTGACAGCCGCCTCGTTGCAGTCTGTAATCGTCTCCTCGTTCCATCGGAAGATGAAGATTGGGTCCTGATTGAAAAGGACGAGGAAGAGAGGGTGTTTTTGAGAATTCTCAAAACGTCCTGATTGAAAAGGACGAGGAAGAGAGGGTGTTTTTGAGAATTCTCAAAAACGTCCTGATTGAAAAGGACGAGGAAGAGAGGGTGTTTTTGAGAATTCTCAAAAACGTCCTGATTGAAAAGGACGAGGAAGAGAGGGTGTTTTTGAGAATTCTCAAAAACGTCCTGATTGAAAAGGACGAGGAAGAGAGGGTGTTTTTGAGAATTCTCAAAAACGTCCTAATTGAAAAGGACGAGGAAGAGAGGGATGGCAAGGGCGGGGCGGAGTGAGAGGAAGAAGCAGCACGGTGGAGAGCTCAAAGAGAGTGGAGAGCTCAAAGAGAGTGGAGGAGTGTGGAATGAGGGGGTTGGGGGAGACTTTTGAGAATTCTCAAAAGTCATTCCAATATAAGTGAGAGGAAGAAGCAGCACGGTGGAGAGCTCAAAGAGCTCAAAGAGAGTGGAGTGTGGAATGAGGGGGTTGGGGGAGAGCGAGAAAATTGGCAATATAGGGACGATCTGAAGATAATGATTACCATGGAGAGCTCAAAGACAGCTCGGTATTGCACGTTCTCCTCACTCAGCCTTGCCACCTCCTCCATCCTCGCTAGTAGCTGCTCCGCTATAGTGACGCCCAAATGACCACTATTCCCGTTATTAGTTATGATACCACCACCACCGCCATTTCCGCCCCCGCCACCCGCACGGGCATTGCAATCGACTAGAGCAGCAGCAGCGACACCATCACCCACAGCACCTAAATCACCACCACCACCACCACCACCACCACCACCACCACCACCACCACCACCACCACCACCACCACCACCACCACCACCACCACCACCACCACCACCACCACCACCACCACCACCACCACCACCACCACCACCACCACCACCACCACCACCACCACCACCACCACCACCACCACCACCACCACCACCACCACCACCACCACCACCACCACCACCACCACCACCACCACCACCACCACCACCACCACCACCACCACCACCACCACCACCACCACCACCACCACCACCACCACCACCACCACCACCACCACCACCACCACCACCACCACCACCACCACCATCACCATCACCATCACCATCACCATCACCATCACCATCACCATCACCATCACCATCACCATCACCATCCCCTCTGCCTGATTTACTCCCTCTGCCCGAATCATCCCCTCTGCCTGATTTACTCCCTCTGCCCGAATCATCCCCTCTGCCTGATTTACTCCCTCTGCCCGAATCATCCCCTCTGCCTGATTTACTCCCTCTGCCCGAATCATCCCCTCTGCCTGATTTACTCCCTCTGCCCGAATCATCCCCTCTGCCTGATTTACTCCCTCTGCCCGAATCATCCCCTCTGCCTGATTTACTCCCTCTGCCCGAATCATCCCCTCTGCCTGATTTACTCCCTCTGCCCGAATCATCCCCTCTGCCTGATTTACTCCCTCTGCCCGAATCATCCCCTCTGCCTGATTTACTCCCTCTGCCCGAATCATCCCCTCTGCCTGATTTACTCCCTCTGCCCGAATCATCCCCTCTGCCTGATTTACTCCCTCTGCCCAAATCATCCCCTCTGCCTGATTTACTCCCTCTGCCCAAATCACCCCCTCTTCTCGAGTTAACCCCCAACTGCGTCTGATCAGCCAGCAAACGGCCACCACCAGCATCTAAACCTTCATACACTCCTGCTGCTGCTCCCACTGCTGATACTGTTACTCCTAGTGCTGGTGCTGTTGGTAATGATGCCGCTACTGCCTCTGTTGCTGTTGTTGGTATGCCTGCCGTTGCTCCCTCTCCTGCTGCTGCTGCTGCTGCTGCTGCTGCTGCTGCTATTGTTGCTACTACTGCCATTCCTCCTGCTGCAGTTCCTCCAGAGGGAGAAACTTCGACCTGTGATTGGCTCGTTGCGTCTCTCAAGCTCTGCGATTGGACCGCCCGATCCCTCGTGCCCTGCGATTGGCTGGCGGCGTCTCTCGAGCTCTGCGATTGGTCGGCGGCAGTGCGGCACGGCGCCTCAGAGTGTGAGCGAAGCATGCAGGAGAGGCGCTCCAGGCGCGACCGCACTGCGTCCTGAGAGGGGTTGGGATTGGTTGGGGCGGGTTGGGGCGGGTTGGGGCGGGTTGGGAGGGGTTGAGATTGGTGGTTGGGAAGGGGGTCCTCAAGAGCATGCAGGAGAGTTGCTCTAAACGCGAGTGAAGTGGGAATATCTACAATGTTAAAGGAACGCAGCACAACGCAACGCAAAACGCATCGTTACACAACGGATGAATGAAGAAAGCGGCTCACATAAATGGGCTGTTCCGACATAGCCCCTTCCGACGACGCATGATGCCTCTGCCTCTTCGCCTTCCGCCGCTCCCCGCCAAGCCCCTCCGCCTCGCTGCCTGCTTCCGCCGCACTGCTCCCGCGGGGAAAGGTGACGCGCGCAACACTTCCGTCCGCGCCGTTTCCGCGGAGGAAAGCCTCACGCGCGACGATGTCGTCCGCGCCGCTACTACCACGGACAGCCTCACGTGCAACAATTCCGTCCGCATCGCTTCCGCTGACAGCCTCCCGCGCAACTATGCCGTCGGCGCCGCTACGACCACGGACTGACTCGCGCGCAACTGTCGCCGACGGAACAGCGGCGCGCCGATTTAAAATTTCGCCCGCCGCGCTGCCCCCATGATGCGCCGCCGCTCCGCCCCGCCGCTCCGTCCCCCAACGCCTCCTCGCATTCTCCGTGTCCGCTTCGCCCGGCCCCTGCCGATCCACGCGCAAACCTGCGCGGGACTCGCTAATCGTCCTTCCGACAAATGTGTGTGAATTCTCAAAACCCTGATTTCTCTGAGAATCTTTCACCGCGTTTGAAGGAGTAATCGCTGCGTCTAACGGAGCAACCGTCACGCGAGCCCAAAAAAACTCCTCGCCGCAAGTCGAAGCGCGTGTTGCGGCGCTTCGACAGGAGAGACGAATGTTACAACCTGCACTGCGATCTAGGTCAGGAATTGTCCCGCCAGCGAAATGTGTTTCCGAAACAGCGAAATGCGTGGACTTTACGGGTATCGCTTGACGATCTGAGGGGTCAACAGTGGAAGCAGTAGCAGCAGGAGGATGTGGTGTGATGATGGATCGAAGTCTACAGACTGTATCGAAGCAGCTCTGTAACGCGGACCAGTCTTCCGGGTGAACGTAGTTCGGATAACTCGAAATATCCAGCGCCATGGCTGTTCAGTTTCTCCTGGAGTCTAAACTGAAGCAAGCCGCCGTCGATAAAAAAATCGCTGTCACTGTCTGGAGGCTATATCATGCTTAGCTCCCGAAAATACATAACAAGAAGGTTACAGAAAAGCGCGGTCTCAGGAAGACGCAATGCGGAACATATGCTGGCGTGGAGGACACGCCATTACCAGCAAAAATCATTGATATCAAGTACTGTAATGTCAGAGCCCTGTCTCTCACCTTTCTCTCGGTCTCTCTTCTCTCGCACCAAACGCGCTGACCTTTTTCTCATTGGGGTGGGGTCCATCAGACATGTACGCATCAGATTCTCAGATGGTTCCAGAGTGGTTCCAGAACAAACTGCTGGAGGTTTGATTCACGCACCTTTGAAGCAAACGAAGGACCCTACACCCACTGCTGGGTGGCAGACTGTCGGTGATGATGATAGAGGAAGGCTGGGTCGAGCAAGAGACTCGAAATCTGAGAGCCACGAACTTTGCGTTGGTTGGGTTGGTTGGTTGGAGGATTTGTTCGTTGTTGTCTGAACTTGCGTGATTGAAGTTGAAGGTTGTTTGTGTGATGTGTGTGAGGTCTGCCGCTGGGTGGCGGCGAATGGCGATGACAGCACTGGAGTCTGGAAGGGAGGGAGGATCAGATCAGAGCCCAGCCTTGCTTCCTTGCAGCGTGCTTCGGACGGATAGGGCAGCTGATGCGATGCGTGCATCTCTTGCGCTGCTATGCCATCCATCCACCTCTTTTGCAGGAAGAACGGTCGGTTCTTTTTTTTGGGCTGTTAGAGGGCGATGCCATCAAAGGAACTCTTTGAGATTCGACAATTATGATTGTATTGGTCCTTTCAGCTCTTCTCTGCGAGGTCGATGATTTGTCAAGCATACAAAAATTACTGTACAGTGCATGAGGTTTACGGGCATCTATGCAAGAGAAAGGTTAGCGACTGTACTGTTCCTGAGAATGATCGGACAGAATCTTGCTGAACCTGCACTGTTCTCGGAACGGCACAACTGTCCAACCATGCTGAGCTGACGCCTCGTCTCGTCTCGGCTCAGCGGCATCCCCGCCGCTGTACCGCTAGGGCCAATAAGAATTCGAGAATTGGGGCACAAGAAGGTCCACGTTGGCGAGCTGCTTGGGGTCCGAGCCAAGCCTGACGTCTAGAAGACCGTTAGTGTTGGCTTCGAGAAGTGATTGTCGTTAGGGTCAGAATCTAATCCCGGAAACACTGTAGCGGCTGTACATAGCGCGTCGCGTGTCTTTTATCCACGCCAGGAGCTCGTCTTGCTCAACAGAATGTACTCGATGAAAATATTGCCACTACTAGTACACGGGGTTTGCTCGCATTGATCACATAAAAATTACAGTTTTTGACATTCGATAATAACCCATAAGCCACCACTTCAGTACCGATATTTTATTTATGCAACACCCATAATAAGCTTCTCCTGCTCGTCCAACTTCTTCACTTGCATGAGGCCGACCAGCACACGCAGGCCAAAAACAGCACTGGCCACCAGGAGCAAAGTAGCAGGCGTTTTCCGGGCGGCAATGTGCATGGCTGAAGCAACATTCATCAAGGTGGCTGCTGCTATGGCCTGCAAGGGTGGAAAAAAAATTGGCATGAAGAGGGGAGGGGACTCAGGGAGTCAGTGATGTGACCGACAGACACAAAAAAATGAAGGGAGAGACAAAGGCCTTGAATGCATGGTTTGCATTTGTGGCCTGCACAGTGCAGGCAAGCAAAGGGTTCTTACACTGCCGATGGTGTTTTGCATGGTCGCCACTCTCTTGAACGCCCTCTCGTTCTCCAGTGTCCGCACTCTCAGCTTCAAGTCACCTTGCTCCTGCGGATCAGCAAGGAGGAGAGAGAGGAGCGAGCGAGGACGTGCATGGGTGTGCGTAGGTATGAATGTACCGGTATGCATGTGCAAATGTGTGTGAGTGGGTCTGTACTGTACAGTCCAGTGACCCTCACCACGCGACAGCAGCAAACGATCAAAAGTGCGTACATCTCATAAATTCCCAAACGACACCTACAGCACAATGAGCGAAGGCTCAGTGCACCAATCAGAACCCGCAGCGTACCAGTCTCAAGATGACGTCAGCAAGCTTCTCCACGCGGCTGGGCTGCCTGAGAAGGTTCCGGAAGGCCTGAGTTTGGCGGTCCCACCGCTTCTTCAAGTCCTGCTCACCCAACACATTTGATAGTGGTGGAACAGATAAGAAAGCTGGTTTGAGGGACATGCCTGTGCAGCACAAGTCCTGCTCACCCGACACATTTGATAGTGGTGGAACGGAGAAGAAGTCTGATGCGGAAAACACGCATAACCATGACATCAATGTAGACAGTAAGCAGCCCGCTCTCACACATGGCATGGCATCAGCATGTAGGAAGACCGGCCCGGGAATGTTATGCTTTGAAGAAGAAGGAAAAAAATATGTGTGTGCCGGTATCGAGAGTGCAAGGGCAGGCTCACCTCCCGGAAGCGAAGGAGCTTTTGAGTCGATTCAGAAGTCACCTTGTTGCAATGGCACTTGACACATTTGAGAGTGCAAGGGCGGGCTCACCTTGAAGAAAAGCTCGGTGCCCACCTCCCGGAAGCGAAGGAGCTCCAGAGCATAGCTGGAGATGAGGGGCGAGATGGGGGAGGGGGCAAGATGGGAGGAGGGGGAAGAGAGTGTGAGAGGGGTGAGTGGCAGAAGCGGAGAAGGCAGCAAAAAGGGAGAGAGCGGCAGAAAGGGGGGGGGTGGAGCAGCAGAAAAAAGGGGGAGGGCAGCAGAAAGGGAGGGCGCAGCAGATTGGGAAAGGAGCAGCAGAAAGGGAGAAGGTTGCAGAAGAAGGGAAGAGCGGGCGGGGGCGGGGGGGGGGAGGGAGGGGAGAAGGCGTTTTGGGGAAACAGCAGAAGGAACAAATAGCAGCAGAAGTGACGGGAGCAGCAGAAGGAGGGGGAGGGGAGAGGAGGGGGAGGGGGGGGGGGGAAGAGGGGTGTGAGCGGGCTTACGGCTTGGCAATCTCGGAGATGTCAAACTTGGCGTCCAGCCCCTTGCCAATGCCGTCCAGCACTGAGAAGGCGCGCACCACAAAGGTGAAGCTGCATGGGGAGAAGGTTGGATGGGAGGAGGGGGAGTTCGGGTTGAATAGAACAATAAGACGGGAAAGTAGAGCAAATGGTGAGCCCATACCACTGCCGTTCGGCACCACTATGTCCGATCACAAAGGAAACGGCAAATTAGGAGTGAGCGTGTGTGACGATCATGCCATGTGATTGCGTGCCATCTGCTGCTAAACCATGCTTTGCCACACAACAAACCCCGAGGTGAGGTGCTTACGTGGCTGGGAATCGGAAGGGCTGGTCTGCTGCGATGGCCAAAAGGTCCTCTCCTGTTGGTGGGGCGTTAAGGGAGGAGGACAAGAGAGGGCGGCGCATGCATGAGAGTGGGGCACATGAGAGGGAGGAGCACGGCCAGAGACAAAGGAGAGGCTGGGAATCGGAAGGGCTGGTCTGCTGCGATGGCCAAAAGGTCCTCTCCTGTTGGCGGGAAATGAAGGGAGCGGGTGGGAGGGTCGAGCACATGAGAGGGCAGAGCGCAGCGAAAGACCAGAAGAGGAAAAAACTAGAAAGGCAGAAAGCCGCATTTTCCGCTTAGCCAGCGCCTCTTTGGTGATAGGAGCAGGCGGAGACACGCAAGCAAGCCCCACACTCACCAATAGCACTGAGGCGCATCTTCCGCTTAGCCAGGGCCTCCTCCTTAGTCATGGGCGCACTCGCCTTGGCCTCTTTGCATGAACCACACACCACCACCACGGACATCAGCACAGCAAGTCCCACTCACCGATAGCAGAGAGTCGCATCTTCCTCTTAGCCAGGGCTTCTTCCTTGGTCATGGGCGCGCTGGCCTTGGCCTCCGCCTGCTGCTGCGCTAAACGCTCCTCAAACGAGTTGAGGAAGAACTGCGCCGTGCGGCGCACAGCGGTACGGTCCCCAGTGGGCACGAGCACGCCCATCTGCACCATGGCGTCCAACACCTTGTCTGGGTCCTTCTCATATACGCCGTAGAATGCTTCTACCAACCCCTCCCGGATGTCAGAGGGGATGCTGCAAGAAAAAACAGGGCAGTGGGGAGGGGAGGGAGAGGGAGAGGGAGAGGGAGAGGAAGAGGGTCAGGTTAGAGTCTGTAATCGGCAACATCAGGTGTTCAGAGCAGTCTGGTTGGGAGGGAGGGAGGGAGGGAGGGCGAGTACGGTCGCCAGTGGGCACGAGCACGCCCATCTACACCATGGCGTCCAACACCTTGTCTGGGTCCTTCTCATACACCCCGTAGAATGCTTCGACTAGCCCCTCCCGGATGTCCGACGGGATGCTGCACAGGGAGAACACGGCACAGAGAAGGACAGGGAGAGGAGAGGGTGAGGGTGGGTGGAATCCGCAATCAGCACCATCAGGTTCAGAGCGGTCTAGTTGGATGGGTAGGGCGCACAGCGGTACGGTCCCCAGTGGGCACGAGCACGCCCATCTGCACCATGGCGTCCAGCACCTTGTCTGGGTCCTTCTCATACACCCCGTAGAATGCTTCTACCAACCCTTCACGGATGTTGGAGGGGATGCTGCAGGTGGGGTTTGGCACGGTGGAAGGAGAGCAGGAGAAAAGAGGGCGTTGAGTGGCAAGAGAATGAGTGGCGTCCAGCACCTTGTCAGGTCAGGGTCCTTCTCATACACCCCTCACGAATGTCGGATGGGATGCTGCAGGTGGGGTGCAGGGGCCAAGAAGTGGCAGGAGAGTGAGTGGCGTCCAAAACCTTGTCAGGTCGGGGTCCTTCTCATACACCCCGTAAAACGCCTCCACCAACCCTTCACGAATGTCAGATGGGATGCTGCAGGTGGGGTGCAGAGGGGGAGAAGAGTGTGGCAGGAGAGCGAGTGGTAGATAGCAGACCCTTCCCATAGAAACCGTAAAAGCCTTCCAGATGTCGGACAGGGATGCTGAATGGGCGTCGTAGAGAAGAGAGACCGGGACCCACCAGCCAGCGAAGAAAAATAACAAATGAGAAGGGAAAGTGGAACAAACAGGATGCATATGTGAACTGAGAACCCAATTGATCAAGGGAAGTCAACTGGATTGAGGCAAATTGGTAGTGGTTACTAGTTAGAGAAGCTTACCTTCCCATCGTGCATGAGTTCTGAGGCGCCTCAAACCTCGTCTCATTATTTAGGCGCCGCAAAACTCAACTGGATCGAAATAAACTGGTAAATGAATTAGAGAGCTGGTTAGAGAAGCTTACGTTCCCATCATGCCGAAATCGTAGAAGATGCTGTGGCAGGGTCAACAGTGGTGGGCGATGGGGCCATGACCGACAGACAGAGTGATGCACGTGAGGGTGAGATAGCCAACAGCAGCAACATTGGCAGCAGCAGCATTGACGGTGGCAGAGGTCGCAGGAGCCGGACAGAGGACCAAGTGAGGCAAAGAGATAACAACAAGGGGCAGAGGGAAGACACACAAGAGAGGAAAACGGAAACACAAAGTGAGAAGGAAAAAAAACAATATTGAAGCATAGCTGAAAGCAAAGCAGCGTGCTGTGAGTGAGGTGGTGGGTGGGTGCATGTGCTGTGGTCAATGTGTGATAGATATGGCTGTGTGTTCCCAGAGTTGGCTGTGCGTGATTGCATGTGCAAAGGGGTGCATGTGTTTCTATGGCAGCATGGGTGAATGGTGTGCATGGGTGCATGGGTGCATTGGTGCAAGGTTCATGAGTGCATGGATGCATGAGCGCATTGATGCACGGGTGTATGGGTGCATGACTCACAGCCGGCCGCCATTGACATCATCAACTGCAATGTTGCCAGGATGCTGCACAGATGGACGTGCATGCATGCCAACACACACATACAGTCATAAGAAGGAGAAATGCACATGAGTAAGCATGCTTGGCAGCATGGGTGCACGGAATTTCAGCTCTGGAGAGACAGCGAGGCACACACCACCGCAACTCATCATTCAGGATCAATGAAGTATCAGCAGTGGCATTGTAAAGCGGTGACGTTTCGACGCATCAACAACCATCCAATCACCATCACCGAACAGACACTTCCTCCATCCACGTGGAAATGGGCGAGTCGTGCGGCGGTTTCTGAGGCGCCTCAAGAATCATCAGCATCATCAGCATCACCAGCATCACCATCACCACCATCACCAGCATCAGCATCACCAGCATCACCATCGGACACGCACCGGGTCGGCATGGAAGAATCCGTGGCTGAGGATCTGCTCCAGGTACGACTCCACACAGTAGCGAGCCAGCCTGTAACGAGGACAAGTGGATGCGAGGAAAGGGGAGGCGGAGAAGCATGCAAAGACAGACGGTGACTGGCATGACATCGATGATGGGTGCAGTGGGGATAGATGATGGGTGCCTGCCAGCATTATGCGATGATGATGGGTGTGGCGGAGGTAGATGACGGGTGGATCCTGCCTGAATCATGAAGTTAGCTTATTATAACTCTCACAATCGATGGCTGGGGGCGCCAGCAGCACACATGCATGTGCACGTGCGTGTGCCCGTGCGTGTGCCACCTACAGCCAACCCGTACCTCTTCCTGTCGACCTGCAGCTTATCCAGAGCATCGATCCTGTTGATCTTGATGCCGGGCGTGTATTCCACTACCAGCATCTGCACCCGTGCGTAGAGCACCCCGTCCCAACCCCACTGCCCCCACCGCCCCCAACTCCCCCCACCTCCAAGCCCCACTCCCACTCTTCAACACCTCTCGCACCTCTTCCGGTCGACCTGCAGCTTGTCCAGCGCGTCAATGCGGTTGATCTTGATGCCGGGCGTATACTCCATCACCAGCATCTGCGAGGTCGTGTACTGCCAGTATATCTTGCCCCTCGCTCTTCAACCCCACTCGTCCCAACCCAACCAACCAAACCGTCCCGTACCCAGTGCCCACCTCTTCCTGTCGACCTGCAGCTTATCCAGAGCGTCGATCCTGTTGATCTTAATCCCAGGCGTGTACTCCATCACCAGCATCTGCGACGTCGTGTACTGCCAGTATATCGTGGGCACCTTCACATAGTCCATGTCCTTGAAGTTCTCGCGGAACCGGTCCGCGTTCTTTCCTTCCTTCATGTAGTCGATTTCCTGTGGGTGGAATGCGGGTGGGGCAGGGGAGGGGAACACATGTTGCCACGCCACCACTGCCAGTATATCGTGGGCACCTTCACATAGTCCATATCCTTGAAGTTCTCGCGGAACCTGTCAGCATTCTTCCCTTCCTTCATGTAGTCGATTTCCTGGGAGTGAAACGAGAGTTGAAGCAAGGCAGAAGAGAGGAAGAGAGGGTCGGTGAGTCTGTGGTACTGCCAGTGTATCGTGGGCACCTTCACATAGTCCATATCCTTGAAGCTCTCGCGGAACCGGTCCGCGTTCTTGCCCTCCTTCATGTAGTCGATCTCCTGTGGTCGGGCCATGGCAGGGTGGGTGGGCAGGGTAAGGCAGGGTCTGGCGTGTTTCCAAAACAGCCAAGGTACATTTGGTACCCAGGGCACCTTCACCACCCTCAGGCACCTAGGCACACGTGGTGTAGACAGCAACACGCCCACTCCCCCTTATCGCCATTAGCTTTTGTCCAACACTTCACCTCAATCACATACCACCACAATCACACGCCACCATACGCACACCCACCTCGTAAAGCACCGACGCGCACTCGTCGTAAATCGCCACCCAGTCGCGCTTGGCCCCGTCCGACTTCGGGTCAATCTTCTGCAGATTCACGGCGAGCACGCGCAGGTTCTTGAGGTCGATGTCAAACAGGTCCTTGAGCCCCGGCCGCTGCACCTTCACCACCACCTCCCTGCCCTGCAGCCGCGCGCGGTGCACCTGCCCCAGGCTCGCAGCCGCGATGGGGTCGCGGTCGAACCGCTCAAACACCTCGTAGATGGGCTTTCCTAGCTCCGACTCCACGATCGCTAGGGCTGTGTCGGATTCGAACGGAGGCACTTGGTCCTGCGGGAGGGAAGAGGTGACCGAGGGGACGACAGAGCGGGGAGGGGGAGAGTGGGGTGTATGTTGGGTGGACTCAAAATGCGATGGGGTCGCGGTCGAAGCGCTCAAACACCTCGTAGATGGGCTTGCCTAGCTCCGACTCCACGATCCCTCACCTGAAGCTCTGAGAGTTCCGCGATGTATTCCTGAGCCAGTAAATCCGAGCGCGTGGAGAACTGCTGGCCGATCTTGATAAACGTGGGGCCCAGCCGCAGGACCAAGCAACCTCGCGAGAGAGTGAACCCACACCCTACGGAACGCGCGTCCCCAACCTCTCTCATCTCACCTGAAGCTCTGAGAGTTCCGCGATGTATTCCTGCGCCAGTAGATCCGAGCGCGTGGAGAACTGCTGGCCGATCTTGATGAACGTGGGGCCCAGCCGCAGCAACCCCTCCTTGAGCCACCGCGCGAGCTCCCGCCGCCGCTCGCCCTTCTTCGCGTCCGTGACTCCGCCGCGGTACATCCACGGCCGGTTGATCAGCCACGCCTGGGAAGGGCGAGAGGAAAACGCGGGGGAGAAGGGGCGCAGAGAAGTGGAAAACGGAAAAAACAAAGTTAACTGAGATTGCGCTCGCCCTTCTTCGCGTCCGTCATTTCCCCGCAGGACATCCGGGCGGTTGATCAGCTACGCCTGGGACGATAACGGGGTGAGAAACATGTTATGGACTGCTGATCTTCGTGTGTTTGTCGTTGGTGTACCCTGATAGCCGTATAAACCATCGGATGGTCGACAAAGTCTTCGTGCATGCTTGTTCTTGCTATACTTCCGTGCTGTGAACACACACTTTCAGTAGAATCATATGAATGTGCCATTGTGCTTTTCCCCTGACCCACCCTCGAACACTACAACGTATCACACAACTGATAGCCCTTTATAACGCGTACCTTAACGAGGAAGACAATAACGAAGCTCCAGATCTCAAAGGTGCGCTGAATGACGGAGTACGTCTTGAAGTGATTCCATCGCCCGCCTGGCGTCACGGACACCTGTCAGCCACGTCAACAATGCCACGTCAGAAAGACTCCAAGGCGTAAAAAAAAAAAAAAAAAATCACTAATCGACCCCGCTGTGGCTTCGAAGACTAGAAGCTACACATGAAACGAGACCAGTGGGGTCACATGATGCTACGGACGCCATGCTACGAAGATAAGGAAATCATCACCTCACACACGAGCATCTTGTAACAGCGAGACGTTAATAACGAGGACGAACCTGCACATTGCTAGCCCGAGCCTTCTCGAACCATGGCCGATCCTCCACAGTAAGCTCCTCCACACCTTTCGACCCTTCGCCGATCTTCTCCTCCACAGCGGCAGCAGCTTTTGCGGCTCCGTTTGCCGCTCCGTTCGCTGCGCCGTTCTTAACGACCTCGTCAGCGAGAACCATTTTCACCGCGCTTCCTTTGCTGGTAGCGATAACCGTCGCTCCGACGACCTTCGCTTCTGATCCGTTTGACGATCGTCCCGAAGCGCTGTAAAGCGCGCGACCGCCTTCCTCTTCCTCCGGGGTCCATGGAGAGGAATTATCGCCTTGTCTGACGCTTCCGTTAGGAGGTGCTTCGATAACAGCGTTAACGCGAAGCGCAGACGAGGAGCGTACACGGTTAAGGGAAGACCTCGCTGGGAGAAGCAATCGCCCGGCTGGCGTACTAAGTTTTCCAAGAAACGGACTCTTTTGAACGACGAGCGTATTGCGATTCTGGCCATCTCGACGCGAGGAAGAAATGTCGGTTGGGGTGCTGCTCGCTGCTCTCACGGAGGAGAGCCCTGAGCGAAGGGCTTGGCTGGTGGAAGCAGCCATTGGAGCTCGAAGTCCGCACACCTAATGGATTACGGAACCTGAGCTCTGAGCCAAGACAAATTAGTAACTGGCTTGGCTTGGTACTTAGAACCTGTTGGTTCCCCTGTGTAGACTCTGAACCGCGTCGGCCACTGTCTCTCTGAAAATCCCTAGGAACACCGACGCAATGCTGAGCAAGAAGGGGAACCTCGAGATTGGAAAGGGAAATCGGGATGGGGTGGATGAAGAATGGATGAGAGGATGCCGTGCCGTGATGACAGAATTGCTTGAAGCAAGCGCGAAAGCCTGCGTGCCTGTCAGTTCTGATTGCTGGGCAGAGAAATGGACGGGAATGTGGGACGAGAAACATTTTTGCCAGTGGACCGACTTTCAGACCGGTGCAGTCAAAGCTTCGTGCTTCAGTGGCCTGTGTCTTCCTCTTTTCTCAGTTACGACTGTGGATGTGATGCATTGTATAGTGTATTATGTCCCCAAAAAAAAAAAAAAAAAAAAAAAAAACTTCGTGCTTCTGCGAGTCAATCTTACCATCTCAAAGGAATCAAAGCATGGTTCACCCTGACATTCAGGCACCAGAATCTTCCACTGCTCCGTGCCCTCAACAACCGACAAAGTGCTCTGTACTTGGCCATTCTGGGCTGAACTGACTGTTTTGCCCAGAAAACAAATACCAGCCCCAAAGAAAACATATCCTTTGGTCAGGTCACCCGCGACGCGAGTTTGCTAGGCTGAAATTGAAGACCAAATCGCCAGTAGAATCCACAACTTCAGGACGCTTTGCAAAGAGGAGGCCACGTGTAGTCGCGATTTGCTCACACGTTCCTGACCACGAAAGTCATGTGCTTAGCTGGAGGGGACGCTGGGGATGGGCCTTGAGGATATATGCGGGACCCGCTACTTTCTATTAAGAGTTATAATAATCAAAATATACACTTCTCACAGCATAGACATGGAAAATACATTCCTAGAAACACTCTCCCATGCTTCTGACAACATCTGCCACTGACACTGCCAAAACTCATAACATGACGTCAACCCCAAGCACATGGTCGAGGAGTTACCGTTGACGCTTTCGGGCCACGCATAAGCATCCGTCCATGATCACCATTCCTCGCTCCGGATATCCAGCGCTGAAAGCCGCTGCGACTATCCAGTACCTGCGACACGATGCTCTCTTAACCGCACATTCCGTGTCCCGCGTCGCACCCGCAGTTACCATTAGTCGCCTGTCGCTACTCATCACCCCGCGCGGCTCGAAGCGGCTCTTTTTCAGCAGCTCCCGCGTTGCCAGAAGCTGTCCAGATTTCCGTCTCTCCTCCTCTCGGCTTGCTTATTCTCATCTGGCTTGTTTGTTCCCGAAATTCACACCCTTTTCCTCAACGCCGCCTGAAGTTAGTATCTTCAGTGCTAGTAGCGCTTCGCGAATTGAGGTTCTTCGACACAGGTTGTTTAGTCGGCGCGCAGGCCGCTGTGCGGACATGGGTTATGAGAACAGCAGCCCTGGGATCCCGGGAAAACCGCCAGGAGGTGCGGAGGCGGTGGATCGAAGTCGAGCCGGATCAGGAATCGGAATTGAATCAACGGCTCCTCGTAGCTCGAACGAACTGGATCAACGGCTGGGGGTTCCCGCACGCGGGGAGTTTGCGGAAAACGGGGAAGCCACGGGGAAGTTCGAAGCTGGGAAGGGGAGGAAGGGGACGAGGGTCGGGGAGCGGACAAGCGGGGGAGTGGGGAAGATGGGAGAGGGTGGAGGGGAAGAGGGAGGTGAGGGGAGAAAGGGAGAGAAATTTAGGCGAGTGAAGGAGAGGGGAAATCGGGAAAAGGCTGAAAAGGGGACAAATGGGGGGAAGCGCGGGGAACGGGGGGGGGGACACGGAGGCGGAGACGGAGGCGGAGACGGAGGCGGAGGCGAAGGAGCAACATTGATGATTCCGGAGTTTCAGGCTGTCGGTGGGGAATCAAGGGCAATGGGGAAGGAGGGTGAGTGAGTACATGAGCGGATAGTGATGCGTTGGTTGGAGAATGCTTTGCTTTTTATTGGTTGAGCGGGATTTGGGGTTTTAAGAACTCTTACAAGTGACTCCAATACAACTGGGGATTGGGTTTCGATGAGGAGGGATGCATGGCGATTATGGGTCATACAGTTGGGAGGAAGACGGATGGATGGGTCACCGGCAGAAAAGATTCGACGAATTGATGGGTCGTTGTATTCTAAATGCATCTTCATTGTATTTCTCTTCTTCCCTTCGCGTTCCTTCCCTTTCCATTCTGTCCCTTCCTGTCCTTCGTCCCTCCCCACTTCTCTCCCTCGCCTCGCTCCCGTTATTGCTCCCTTCGGCAGGCCTGTCACTTCGTGTCGTTTCCTACAATATCCTGGCGCAGGCATGTGGTGTGAGGGGGTGTGGTGTGGTGTCGTGTGGTATATTGTGGTGTGGAGTGGTGTGATGTGGTGGTGTGAATGTGCATATGAAGTCCATGTCGTGTCATGTCATGTCATGTAAATGTGGACGTGCTTTTCATGTCCGTGTGCATGTGCATTTTTATTTGCATGCCACGTCTTGCACATGTGTGTGATCATCATGTGTTCATGTCAAATCCATGACAATGTGCAGTGCATAAGCCGTCTCACATGTACAACATGTACACAACTCACTCTCTCGCAGGCATACGTCAAGAGTGAGCTTTTCCCCCACTCACCGCCACAGAGCCTCAGGTACTGTTGTTTTGTGCCGCAACACATTGCCTTCCTTGCTTCCCCGAATCCTTACCATCCTCTTCTTCCCATCTTGTTCTTGCTTGTTATGTTAACGGGAGGGACCATCCTCCTACTTCGAAGTGTCCAATAACCAGCACGCAACACATTCCTCCTGTGATGCAATCATTTCTCATCTCTTCTCCATTATTTTTCTTCCTACCTCACACTGACATCCTCACACTGACATCCTCACACTGACATCCTCACACTGACATCCTCACACTGACATCCTCACACTGACATCCTCACACTGACATCCTCACACTGACATCCTCACACTGACATCCTCACACTGACATCCTCACACTGACATCCTCACACTGACATCCAGCCATCTCCCGCTCCAGAGTACGAATCCACTCTAGGCTTCTCGCTCACGTACTTATCTCCGCATCTCCCAGCACCCTCTTCCCCTCTCCCCCGCTTTCCCCCTCTCCCCTTCTCCCCCAACCTACCAACCCCCCCCCTCTCACGCCCCTTGCCACCACCAGGCAGAGGAATCGGTTCAAGGCGCTTCTCACGCTGCTGCCCGCTCTCTCTGCCGACTTCCTCTGCGTTCAGGTGCTGTTACCACACAGGCTATGAAGGTAACACAGGTGCTGGTAACCACAGGTGCTGGTAACCACGGGTGCTGGTAACCACAGGTGCTGGTAACCACAGGTGTTGGTAACCACGGGTGCTGGTAACCACAGGTGCTGGTAACCACAGGTGCTGGTAACCACAGGTGCTGGTAACCACAGGTGCTGGTAACCACGGGTGCTGGTAACCACAGGTGCTGGTAACCACGGGTGCTGGTAACCACAGGTGCTGGTAACCACAGGTGTTGGTAACCAGGTGCTGGTAACCACAGGTGCTGGTAACCACAGGTGCTGGTAACCACAGGTGCTGGTAACCACAGGTGCTGGTAACAGGCTGGTTGAAAGACGTCTCAAAACCCCCCCTACCCCTCTCTGCATTCAAGAGATGGATGAGTACAAGAGCATGTATCGCCATCCCATGGCAGCAGCAGGATGCTTCTCAGAATTCTCAAAAGCAGTTCCCTTCTTCCTCCCTTCCCGTCTTCCCTTTTTCCCTTCTTCCTACCTTCTCTTCCTCCTCCCTTCCCTTCTTTCCCCCTCTCTCCCCTCCCAGGAGATGGACGAGTACGAGGGCGAGTATCACCAGCCCATGGCAGCAGCAACAGGCTGCGTTTGAGACAACTCAAAAGGGCCTCCCCTGCCCACGAATCCTCTCTCTCTCCCTCTCCCCTGCTTGCTGTTCCCCCAGGAGATGGACGAGTACGAGGGCGTGTATCGCCAGCCCATGGCGGCAGCGGGGTGGGAGAGCGTTTACGTGAAGAGACCGGGCAAAAAGAGGGATGGAAGCGGTATCTTTTACAGATCTAGCAGGTGAGCTTAGGCTGTGTTAAAACTACAAAAGTGGCAGTCAAAATGGCAGCTCTAAAAGATGAGGAGGAGGCATTTATGGGAGATGACTCGAAACTGAGGCAGTGGGATAAAAGCGAGTGCTGTGGCTTCGAGAGATGCGGGTGCAGCAGCGTTTTTCTGGTTTGTTTCCCCATTGGGTTTTCCTCCCTGTCCATGAGCTGTTGTGTTTCTGGTTCTTGAAGGAAAAAAGCATCTTCTTATGGTTCCTCCAACTTGTTTTTTCCCAGATTTCGCCTGCTTCGCTCGCAGCCGATCCACTTCAACGACCTCGTTCCGCCAAACCAACCAGTGCACCTAGAGCAACCGGCCCAGCCAGGCCAAGAAGTCGCTCCTAGTCCTTACTCGTCCGAAGAATCCCGGGGTTTATCCGCCTCGCATGTGTCGGAGGCGACTCAAACACAGAGTGCCGGTCCCGACTCGTCAGAATCGCGTGACCTGTGTGACCCCCGTGTTCGCTTCAAGCGCGACTGTGTCGCCATTGTTGCGGCGTTCCAAGAAAGAGCGAGTGAAGAAAAGGAAGGAGAAGAGGCAGAGGATGGGGAGAGCATGGCGGGAGGGGAGGTGGTAAGGGAAGGGATAGGAGGAAGAGGAGGAGAGAGAGGGCAGCAGGGAGAGGGGCGAGTGGTGGTGGTGGCATCATCTCACATCTTCTGGTCAGTTTCAGTTTCAATGTCTTTTCAAAATTTCTCGAGAACCAATAACTGGGATCATTTCACATCTTCTTGTTGGTTGCTTTTGCTTGTTGAGAACCAATAACTGGGAACCAAGGATTGCCTCGTCATCACGTGGTAGTTGTTCTTCAGTCACCCACATATGTTTCACCACATCGTACCGCATCGTACCACATCGTACCACACCATAGCATGCCTTACCACGATACCATACCATACCATACCATACCATACCACACCATACACATCATGTACCATCCACCATCCCACACCCCTCCAGGGACCCAGCATGTGCAGACGTGAAATTGGCTCAAGCACACTACCTGCTGCAGCAAGTGGCGCAGTTCCGATCCTCTATAGTCACCTCCGGGCACAGTCACACATCTTCTAGTGTCACAAACGCAGCAGGCAGCACACCAGTTACCATCATTTGCGGCGATTTCAACTCCCTTCCGGGTGACCCCGTAAGTTCAAGTCCCGGCCCCTCTATATAATCCAGTTGCAGGGAATCTGATTCGCTATGATCACACCTTGCCTCAGTCACCCGATATTGTCTACACATGAGGATTCCCCAAATTTACTGTTACTAACTACACATCCTGGCGTTTCGCAATAGCTAACCGGATGCTACATGCTAAGTCGATTTTTTATGTGCCTAAAAAAAACAGGATGCTACATACTCCAATCCTCTCACCTTCCTTCTCGCCGTCCTAATGACCCCCCATCTCAGGTGTATAAGTACCTAACATCAGGCCAGGTGGTTCCAGCAACACAAGCAACAGCACCAGAAGCAACAGCACCAGAAGCAACTGCACCAGAAGCAACAGCACCAGAAGCAACAGCACCAGAAGCAACAGCACCACAGGCAGCAGCAGCATCAGCACCAGCGCGAGAAGGACCAGCAACAGACGCACCTGCATTTCCAATCCCACCCATACCACTGGCAAGCCTTAATGCTACAGCTGGCAGCATTCTGTTGGCTGCTGAACCAGGTCCTGCCACAGCAGCAGAAGTTGCCGCCACAGCAGCAGCAGCAGTATCAGCTGTGGTAGCGACGTCGGGAGTAGCAGCAGGAGAGGCTGGAGGAGTTGCAACAGCAGAAGCACGGGCAGTGGGATGCGACGGCAAGAATCAGGTGGATGGTGCCTCGGTCCATAAGACAATGAATACTAAGAGTAACAATAACAGGATGGAAGATGTGGTTGTGGGGCAAGCTGGGCAAGAGCCGGAGTTAACAACGTTCAATCCACCATTTTCTGGAACAATTGATTATGTGCTGATATCAAAGGATGCAGTGCCATTTTCAGTTATGTCTACCCTATGGCTCCCAGGCAGGGAAGATGCTAGGCTTGGGAAGGGCCTTCCGAATTTCCATTTCCCGAGCGATCACCTTCCGATTGGTGGGGACATTATATTTGAATAGAAATGTCTTCTGGAATAATGTCTATTCTGTTAAGCTTGTAGTGTAACCATTATAAGTGGTTAATCTGAAGATATTCTAGTGTTGATATTTGCAGTGTCAGAAGCAACCGTCTTCAGAAAATAAGCTGCTTATTCGTAGAAACTTTAGTGTACCTTTCTTGCAAGACGCGTATCGAAGCGCGTCGCGAAAAGAAGCGCGGGAAAAATGTTGGTATCCTTATCCACACGGAGTATTTAGACGGCTTTATGATCAGCACAGCAACAGCAGCAGCAAGTATGCATCTTTCGTTCGTCTTTGTTCAGGGAGCCTGGAGTGTCAGTGGGTTATATCTAGCCCAAGTAGACCAGCTGTTGTGGAAAGAGCTGGTCAGGAGGCTAACGAACGTCCAGGAGAATTCCTGACGTTTAAAATTTGTTTCAAACGTTCAGCGTGATTTAGTGGGCTAAGGGCCTGTGCTCGTCGCATTCGTTCAGGTCCTAAACGTTGAATTCCCACTTATTCTCACGTGGTGGCGAAGAAAAGGCTTCATGAGTATCACGCTCACCTCAGAATGACACACAATTTCATTATCATTCGTTTTCTCTTATAACATTCCGAACCATCCTCGCGAGAAGCATTCTTTCCCGATAGCGTCGGCGCTGGAATATTCTCATCCGGATATACCCGCAGCTAGGACGCATTGACGAGTTAGTCTACTCCTCTTGTCCTTTGAGGCGCCTCAATAACAGATTTAGGACGAATTGACGGGTCAGTCTCCTCCTCTCCTCCTCAGTCATGCCATTCCGGTCTGTAGCAGCAGCGGCGCCGTTTCACCAGGCTGCCGCCACAGCCGCCGCCGCTACATCCGCTGCCGCTACATGCTCTAGCAGAGAGGATTTTACCCGCAGACGGACATGCTGTAGCAGAGGAGGTTTGATATTTAGCCGAAGCATTGACAGCCTTGGCTGTAGCAGAAGCATTCACAGTCTAGATGCGACCGGCTGTAGCAGAGCGCGTGATGGGAGCCGCCGTGCCAGCAGCCTGGCTGCCGAGACGGCCGACGGTTGTAGCATTGGGGACTCCAGGAAACCACGTGCCGCCGCCCACGAGTCGGTTCGGACGACCAGGCGCGGCTGTAGCATTGCGGCTTACAGGAAGCCATGTGCCGGCCACGTGGCGGTTGGGAATGGGACGACCAGCGGCTGTAGCGCAGCTGCTACAGCCGTAGGGGCGGATTCGTTGGGCGTGCTGATCGCGATTGCATGCGGCACGGCTGTAGCAGGCGCTGCCATGCCGGCTCATGCTGCTACAGCTGTAGCTGCTGCCACTGGTGCTGCTACAACTGTCTCTGCTACGGCCGCTGCCACTGGTGCTGTTGCAGCTACAGCCGTCGCTGCAGCGGGCGGCGGGCTGTCAGAAGGAGCTGTGTGGGCGGTGCTGTGCGCGTGCGCTGCTGGCGCCCAGGTGACTATAACGAGCGTGTTCAACTCACATCGTGATTTCTATTCTCTCACCGTGACTACTAAATCCCAAGTCAATAATCACCCGCTCTTCCCTCCTCTCCCTCCTCCCCCTTTCCCCCACCATCTAACTCCGAGCAGCGCCTCAGAATACGAGCAGCGGCGACTTCGGTTCTCAAATTCACGCCGTTCACTTGCTCTCTCTCTCTCCCTCTTTTCTCAAAAGTTACTTCCTCTGCCCCATTCTGCCCCTCAGAATCAAATCAGTGCTCACGGTCATGCTGTGTGCTCTCTCGTCTCTTTCTTCACTGTGTGCTCCCTGTGTTTCCCCCATCCACCCCCCTCCCCCCCCTACTCCCCTCAGCTCCTGGAGCAGCGCACGTCGTGGGGTCAGCAGGTGCCATCGGTGCTCCTAGCCATGCTGTGTCCGCACTGGCTTCTGATCCGAGGTCCCTCGTCTCCCCTTTTCCGCCTTCCCATTCCCCCCATCCTCGAACCCCCACCCTCGCAGCTGCTAGAGCAGCGCACGTCGTGGGGTCAGCAGGTGTCCTCGGTGCTTCTAGCCATGCTAGCAGCGGCCGTGCTCGCGTCCCTCTCTGTGCTGCCCACCGCCTCTCCCGTCTATGATTTCGTGAGTGACCCGCGAAAATATCAGAAAAGTGAGCGTGGCTGTGTGGGTTGATTCAGAGCCGGGTGTCCTTTTTTTTTTTCGTTGAGTTCACGAATTTGTGAGTTATTCCCTTTCTTCCTGTGCCTGCCAATCAGGTGTGGACACGTGTCATGCCCATGGCAGTGGCGCTGGTGCTGTTAGAGACAGATGTGACGTCAGCATTCACACAGTCAGGTGAGGCATACGTCATCCCATCCCATGCCTATGCTCTGCAGTACCATGCAAGTGGCTTATCATTATTCAGTTCCATCAGATCATATGTCAATGCCATGTTATGCCATGCCATGCCATGTCATGCCATACCATGCTGTTCCGTTTTCCTCCCTCGCCTTATCGCATGACATACGGCTTCCCTCCCCCTCTCTCCTCTCCCCACTTCCCCTGCCTTCCCCTCCAATCAGGTCCTGGCCTGCTAGCTTTCATGCTGGGTGCAGCAGGCACGATTGCAGGGACACTTGTCGGCTTCTCATTGGCCGGCCCTTCCCTGGGCGTGGAGGGCTGGAAGGTGGCGGCGTGCTTCTGTGCGACGTACATCGGAGGGAGCGTTAACTACGCTGCCACTGCTAAGGTGCGGTGAATAGGAAGGGGAAGAGAGAGAAACACTAAGAGTGTGAAGTGAAAGGTCCAAAGGTGTGGATTGGAAGGTGGCGGCTTGCCTCTGTGCGACGTACATTGGGTGGAGCGTGAATTATGCTGCCACTGCTAAGGTAGAGATAGAGGGAGGAGTGAGCGCAGGGAGCAGAGAGTCAGAAAAGGGAGTGGAGTGGAGAGTGAACTGAACAGTAGATGTTTGTCTTCTGTGCGACGTACATGGGAGGGAGCGTGAGCGTCGGAGGGAGGGAGGGAGCGTGTCAATTCACCTATGCTGCCACTGCTAAGGTGAATTGACGAGGAAGGAAGCGACAAATGGAGAAGAGAGTTGAGCTCAGTCATTAATATAATGAACTCAACTCTCTTCTAATGCATGTGATGGTACGACCTCCTGGAGAATCTGCTCATCCCCGCCTTCTGAGGCACCTCAAAAGGCGGTGGAAACATCCCAAGATAGTTTTTGAGAATTCTCAACAGCCATCTTGTCTCATATGTAGAATGGGTGTTTTTGAGACGTCTCAAAAATACCCTCTCTACACGTGGTTTTTGAGAATTCTCAACAGCCAACTTGTCTCATATGGCGATGGAGAACCTCCTCATCGCCACCTACTCTCCCTACTCTCTCTCCCTCTCCCTGGCTCTCCTCTCTCTTCTCTCCTGTACGCACATCCCCAGGCTCTAGGCATGGACATCACAGCAGGAGCAGCAGCAGCCAGCACGGGGGCAACCTTACTAACAGCAGGCATGGCGGTGGACAATCTCCTCATGACTGCTTACTTCTCGGTGCTTGCTGCTCTCCCTCGTCCCTCGATGCCCTTTCCTCACCGCCCCTCTGCGTTCTTTTCTTCGCCCAGGCGCTAGGCATGGACATCACAGCAGGAGCAGCAGCGGCCAGCACGGGAGCCAGTCTCCTCACAGCAGGCATGGCGGTCGACAACCTTCTCATGGCTGCATACTTCTCGGTGCTCGCTGCTCTCCCCGACTCCTGGCCCAAGCCGTGGGGTGGGGAGAGGTGGGGAGGGGTGAAGCTGGGAGGGCTGAAGCTGGGAGGAGATTCTGAGTCACAGAAAGGGCCAGATACAGGGCTTTCTGCTCCTCTCCTCCACTCCTCCCAGTCTCCCTCCTCTTCATCTTCCTCCTCTCCTTCCTCTTCCTCCGACACTTCCTCTTCCTCGTCCTTGCACTCTCCTGCTCCTCTGCCTTCTCCCTCCCCTCCCTCCTCCTCCTCATCCCTCACTCACTCGCCACCCCCGGCCCCCTCGGTAGAGTCCCTCACTCTCTCCATAGCCGCTGCCGCCTCCGCATGCGCGCTAGCAGACAAACTTGCCGTCCACCTGCCGCCCGTGATGGCCTCGGCCCAGCTGGCGCTTGCCGCCGTGCTGGCCTCCCTCCTGTCGACTGTAGCAAACAGGCTGACAGGAAGTGGGGAGAAGAGAGAGACGGGAGAGGAGGGGGTGGAGGGAGAGGAGAGAGGTTCGCTGTTCACAGGAGCAGAGACGCTTGGAAACGCACTAATGCTGGTCTTCTTTGCAAATGTAAGCCCTGCTGCACGCCCATAACCGAGCAAGTTAATACTCACCCCTTTCCTTCATGGGCATCAATCAGCGTTTTCCAGGCACCCTTGAGATGTCCGAGGGCGATAGGATTTCGGGCTTTAAACTAGCACACGTGTTGGTGCTACCTAATTTGTCTTGACCAATTAACTATATTTTACCCTTTCTCTGGCAGATAGGAGCGTCGGCAAGTGTGTCTGAAGCCATGTCTGCTGGTGGTGGTCTGCTTGCATTCGTTGCAACTGTGTTAATGGTATGTCATGGCTGCTGCTCATTGGTGGTGGCTCCTGATAATTGTAGTTTGAAGGAGTCGTTTTTTCCCTCATGTTGCAATGCAAACCACAAGTTGCAATCTATTCCCTTATGTTGTTTCGTTCTCTGTTCTCTGTTTTCCCTCAGCCACTCGTAGGCATTTCCAAGCTCCTGATCTTTGCACCTTTTCCATTCCTTGCTGCACGATACGCCCGCCACATCAGGTTCACATTGTAGTCGTTCTTCTAGGGGGAAGACTCCTCAACATCCCACTTGATATTGTAAGTGCAGCATTGTTTTCCTTTTCCTTAGGCAAGCTTTTCTTAGCGCTGATGCTCTGGCTCCTCACTCTCTTTTTTTGTCCATCTAGTTCCCATACATAAACTGGCCGGAACAATGCAGAGTCGATAAAAAACACACTGTCACCGCATCACTAATGCTTTTACGTATAGTGATTTTCTATGCAGAAAAAAAAAGGGCGTTCTGTCCTGTTAATCTTCTCCTTCTGCCTCTCTGGTCCCTCGTTTCTTTCCTTCGCTAGCATCTCTTCCATCCATGACTGCTTCGAGATGCCCCATAACCTCCCTTATGTCGCGTCTCTCCTTCCTTCCCCACCCTCCTACCTCCCCCTCATCAGCTAATGGTAGCATCCAACGCCAATGTGGGCGGACCTGCCACGGCTGCTGCTATGGCCAGTGCTCGCAATTGGCCCCAACTGGTGAGACCTGCTACAGTGCTTGAAGCTTTTGTGTTGAGCTTTGTTGAGCTTATAAACGTCTCAAAACCTGCAATGCCTTGGAAAGATGTGAGGTTTGAGACTGCTCAAACTCCCATTCAGAAAAAACGCAGTGCTTTTACAATTGGATGATCAAAGGTACATACGGTACGGTACCTCCAGTCAACTTAACCATCATTCCCTTTCGTTTCCTCACGTTCATGAGCTGTATGGACTGTCTCAGCCCAGAACACTCAACAATATTCCCTTGTTTATGATTCCTTGATTCTCAGGTGCGCCCTGCGGTGTTGCTTGGCACATTTGGCTACACCATCGGAACAGCCATTGCCTTTCTGCTCGGAATCAACGTGCTGCAGCCCATGGCAGCAGCTGCTCTCGCGAAAGTATTGTGAATGGCTACCTACCAATTTGCTGGTACCAGAAGTTCAGTTTTTTGAGAACGCCTGCCATGCATGCGGCCAATGATCCTCTGTTTGGAATCAACGTGCTGCAGCCCATGGCAGCAGCTGCTCTCGCTAAAGTATTGGGAACTGCTACCAATATATCTGGTACCAGTACGAGAAGTTTAGTATTTTGACAACGCCTGCCACGCAGCCAATGATCCTCTGTTTGGTATCGTGGCAAAATAGTGTAATGGTTGTTTAGTTTTATTGTATGCAAACGAAGCAGCATGGCACAGCTCAGGGCAGCTCAACTCCATGCGAGCTTCTCACATGAAATTATTAGCCAATAATTAATAATCAGACGGTAACAATATATCATATAAGATGACGAGGGTATCGTTACTTCTGAAGCCTTGTACAATATGACTAAGTCGCTGCCGTTTCGCTCTGTGGCTCTCCGCGCCTTGCGGCGCGTTTGCCGCGGATCTTTGCCTTGAGTTTCTTCGCGAGGCGCACTATCCAAAGAAACATGACGACGAGCGACGTGCGACGTGCGACGCGGAAAGATCGCAGGTGGACGCTTCTCCCGGTGATTGAGTAGTTGGTGATTCAAGGAAAGTTCGAGAGAGCACTGACGTTCAGTTCAGACGGTGCGGTGGGTACGACTGGAACGAAAGGAGGTAAGGTCGAGATGCACTTCAGAAGCGAAGGAACGCTGAGCAGCGATATGACTTTCGAGGCGACCCGAACATGCACGGCAGAGCAAAGAATGCAGGAAACGGAAAAGAAAAGAACCTCAACTAAAGCTTTGCAGAGGAGGTACCCACCACCCAAACAATTCGGCAAGAAAGCAAGCGCTGCGGAACCGCAAGAAGAATCACGGGGTGATGGAAAGGAGCGAGCGAGCAGAGGTAAGGGGGACGCTAGCCCCGCTCGACCCGATAAGAGGCAGCAATGCACAACGACACGACACAACACTCGCAGTATGGGCGGGAAATCCTAACTTACAGTTGTACACGACACGACGATACGATGGATGGAATGGAATGGAAGCACAACTCGACTTCCAATGCAAGCAGGTGATCCGTTGACATTTTCCGGAAAGAAAATCCTCAACACCACATTCTTATTTTCGCTGCCCGAAGCTAGGTTGGGTTGAAAATCGAAGCCATTTTCTTCCAGCCTTTCTGCTATTTTCACTGCGATGTTTGGTCTCGAGTCCCTGCAGCGATGGTGAACCCGACTGCTGGAAATATCTGAAATGCGAGCCAGCGACAGCGGCTCGACTCCCAGCAAAAGTTGCTGCATCTGCCCCACGTGCGAGAATCGTGCTGATGGTTACGCTGGCGAAGCTTGTTCGCGAGAGCAAGTCTTGACGGTACTGAAATTGTAAAAACATAGCATCACACTAACATGAGCACAATATAACCACGCACAATATAAAATACCTCCACAACTGTGAACATGAGTCTTGGCAACAGCTGTACAGAATATTCAACAGCTTGAATGTTATTCCTGCTTGTTGTACCGTAATTCAAGAGCTCATCATTCCTTGATTTTCAGGTGCGACCTGCGGTGTTGCTTGGAACATTTGGGTACACCATTGCCTTTTTGCTCGGTATCTATGTGCTCCAGCCCATGGCAGCAGCTGCTCTTGCCAAAGTGTTGACTGCTCTATACCGTACCAGAAGTGTACTCTTTTGAAAACGCCTGCCATGTAATAAATAATTCTCTGCCTGGTATCAAGTGGCAAAATGATGTGATGGTTGGTTCTGCTTTATGTAAACGAAGCAGCTCGTCGCAGTCCATGGCACATGAGATTTATGCAAACGCCCTAAAAAAAGGATTAAGAAAAGGGTGATTATCACAACATAATGTAACGTAGCCACTCCAGGTGCACACGTTTCCTGTCCATCGCTACTTCAAGCGTTATTAAGAGCCCCGGGGCCTGGGCCGTCGCCAACAGTATTCTTGACAATCGCCTGAGCCGTGTTCTTCTGTGACTTCCCGTGCCTTGAGGCATATATGCCGGCTCGGACTGCTCGGAGGATGATTGTTGTCCCGCGAAAGACGAGGCGCAATATCGCCACCACCATGATGACGTGCGACGCGGAAAGGTTGCACGTAGGACGCTTCTCCCGCTGTGTAAATAGATGAATCAACGGAAGTTCGCGAGATTGCTGACGTTCAGACGGTGCAGTGGTTAGACTGGGAGAAAAGGAGGTAGAAACTTAGAAGGTGCGGTGATGCACTTCAGAAGCTAAGGAGGAACACCGAGCAGCGAGTTTACTTTTGAGGCGACTCGAGCATGCAGTGAGAAAGCAAAGGAACGCAGAGCAGCTAATGGAGATGACAGAACAGCAAATAAACCAGCGAAGCGTCGACTTGACTTTATACTTGAAGAGGTATCGCAGCACTGGACTTGCTCGTTCAACAACCACAAGAATCACGGGGTGGAGCGAGAAAGTAGGGCTGTAGCAAGGACTAGATACAGTAAATAAATAAGCGGCGATGCTGAGAGTTGGAAATGTGTGGAATGCGATGCGATTCAGCGAAAGCGGCTCGAGTCACAGCGAAATGTTGTTGCACTAGCCTCACACGCGGAACTCGCGGTGGCAATTTTGTTCGCGAAGCCTTTTGGCGAAAGCAAGCGTTGTGGGTGCTGGAATTGTAACAGCAGATCATCATGCACACTCACACAAATGGTGCGCTATCTCAATCACATTTTTGTAGTACCTCTACAGCTGTGAACATGAGACTAAACTCCTGTACTTGGAGAAAACAAAACGTTGACTACAAACAAGCACATCCACGCTCCTACAGGAAGCTGTCCAGACGCTTATGTGATTGAATCTATAAGCTCCTCCAACGGCGCCAGCTCCTTGTTATCGATCAAGTTGAACTCCTGACATGGGTGAAGGGATGTGATGACCAACACAACAAATAACATGCTCAGAAAAACAGGGTGCAAAGAAACAGGAAACATTTGCAACACGAGAGAAGCATGGGACAGGGGCAAAGGAGGAGAGGCGGCAGAGATTTGGCTCCTTCGGGGAGGGGGGGGAGAGAGGAGGAGGGGGGGGGGGGGGGGGGGGGGGGGGTATGGAGGGCAGAAGCGGGGGTGGGATGGAGGGGAGTGGGTTTTGGAGGAAGCAATTAGCAGGAAAGAAAGAATGACAAGCCAGACCAGGGGCAACTCACATGTGTGAAGAGGATGAAGTGTTTGAAGCAGGTGTTGAGGTGAGCCTCCTCCTTGAGACTGACAATGCGCTGGAAGTGTGAGTGGTAGATGTGCGCGTACACTCGGAACAGCCGCTTGAAGATCGTGCGCACCACCTTCTCAAAGTGCGGAGGAAACGGAACTCCTGTAGTGTGAATCAATGGAGTGGGCAGTGTGGAAATGGGATGGTGCAGAAAGGGAGTTGGGACAGGGCACGAAAGTACTGTAATACATCCACTACGACCCATGGGGACATGAGGTGACTTTTGAGTCGACTCAAAAGTCACCACGGGGCAGGGAAGTACTGTAATACATCCACCACGACTCATGGGGACATGGACGAGCCACAAGGAGAGCAGGGGTCAGGAGGAGGCTGGCCTAATCAAACCTTTGAAGGAAAATGCAGCATTGATTAAAACATTGTGGGAGTAGGCACTCAGGGGTAGCCATTGTGGGGGTAGACATTGAGAGAATAGCATCCTGGGAGTGCAGCACAGACCTAGCAGCACGGACCTAGCAACACAGACCTAGCAGCACGGACCTAGCAGCACAGACCTAGCAGCACGGACCTAGCAGCACGGACCTAGCAGCACAGACCTAGCAGCACGGACCTAGCAGCACGGACCTAGCAGCACGGACCTAGCAGCACGGACCTAGCAGCACGGACCTAGCAGCACGGACCTAGCAGCACGGACCTAGCAGCACGGACCTAGAAGCACGGACCTAGCAGCACGGACCTAGCAGCACGGACCTAGCAGCACGGACCTAGCAGCACAGACCTAGCTTTTGGGGGAAGATGGTGCTGTCGTCGAGCTGTGTCTCGATCCAGTCCATGAGGAACTCCACGTACTTGGGCGCCGACACCTCCAACGGCTTCTTCACGTGCACACCGTCCGCCCACCGGTACTCGTACCTGCCAGACAGGTGGACACGGGCAAAAAAAAAAAAAAAAAAAAACTTCCAGCTTTTTACCTTGCATTGGCAGAACTGAGCCTGTGAGTTCAAAACGAACGCGAAATTGTTTCCTAGAACCTGACGGGTGCTTTGGAGTGCTTACTTGGGACCGGCGGACATGGTGGGGCAGTGTTCTGGCGTGCAGAACTCAGTGAGCGTGCCGTAGAGCAGATTGACTTGATTGTAGAAATCCACGGCTGGGATGAAACGCGGAAGTGAGAGAATGGACGGGGGAGATGTTCCATTATTGTTGGTGTGTGTGCATCCGTTGGGGAGACGCGATGGAAAGAGTGACGGAGTCACAGCAGAGAAATTTACATCAGAAGTAGAACGGAGAGCGAGCCGATCGTTAGCGGCACGAACGCCGTTCAACGCCAGCTATGGTAACGGCAAGCCGTCTGGTTCAACTCACTGTTGACGGCGAGCCACTCATTGAGGTCTTCGCCTGGCGGAAGCCTGACGGCCTCCCGAAGGTTGCCGCTGCCGAGCGTGGCATCAATGTGTTTGCGGAGCTGCTGACCCTGTACGGACGGAAGAAAGGAGACGTGACAGGGAAAGATGGAGTACAGACGGTCAAAATCAGGGGAGAAGCGACAACGTTTTATGCTGGGGTCGATGTGCTCGTCCAGCTGCTGAAGACGCTAGGACGAAAAGATGGTATACGATGCAGAAGCAGCATCGTCGTGTATTATCATTCCAGCCAAACGTTTCAGATAAGGTGTGACAACAATCAATGTTTTTATTTTGTCGTCTACAATCAGTTCTTTTTATACACGAAAAATGCAACAACTAGCGAGCATGCGACGTTCAAAGTAAGCAAAAAGAAACAGGCATT